AAACAAAACAGGTTTGTAAAAAAGTGTCAGTAAAGCGAATAGGTTCAAAAGGAAATGTCAACAAAATTGTTTTCAACGAACAGAGCAAAGCAGAATTTGCGTGTACGGCAAATTCTGAACAGGCAAATTTTTGTTTTTCTTCCTCGCAAGAATAACAACTAAAATGGTAGTAAAACAGCTCCCGATTAGAAACAATTTTGATATTTGCCTTTATTTCTAATAATTTTTCATAAACGTAAACAAATTTGACAGCAAATAATTTGTGTTCTACAGCATTGCCATATTGGAATTGTTTAATTCAGTATAAATTCGGTTTGATTTTGTGCATTTACGACACATACAAATGAGGATAATGTACAAGTTAATTTGAATTAAGACTGTTAATGCAAATTAAGGCAACAACAAATAAGTTTAAGAGAACGCACCAACGCTGGGTGCAAGGCTGCCCATTTTTGCTCTTATTGTTTCTTCATCTTTTCCAACGTTGGAGTTAGTTTTCGGTAGTCATTTAAATCGTTCGCATTGTTTTTTACGGGCTGCTTCTTGTTGTTTGTCTTTTTAAGTGATATTTAAAATTAATGTTAAACTCAATAAATTAAATTTTATGAAATGCAAAAATCCTAAACATGAACATTTTGCCGTGCACCGTTCTACATTGGATAATTTTGTTCGTAAGCCGAACACCATGGCTTACGAATCAAAATTATCCAATGTAGATTTGTAACTGTTTCAAATTGATGAGAATTTGCTAAAATAATTTGAAAACATTACTGGTAAGTTGTTTGTTGTAATAAATATAAACATAGTTATGTAATTGCAAAGACATAGTTTATTTAATATATCTTTGTTTAATATAGCGTGATCCTTAATACTCATTGATTGATATAAAGTATGCTATTGCCTTTTACATTTCTCTACGGAGGTTTAGAAGAGTCAACCCGGTGGGTTTTTAATCGCCGGGATTAATTAATCTTTTGACCCGAGGACTAAAATATTTTATGCGGGAAACTAAAAAATAACTAAAAGTGAATTGAGGGAAATAAAATCTGTAATCTGGGGACAACTATTTCAAACCCGGGCGATTAAATTTTTAAATTAGCCTTATTCTGTATATTCGCTGGGAGATATCTCGCATGTAAACAAATTTTCGATTTCACATTCTCGCCTTATTCTGAATGAATAGGGAGACGCAAAAAATGCGAGATGCGGATTCGTGTTTTCGAAAATGGTGGTTGAAAAAAGATTCGTGTTGCCATATTGTAATTTAAGTTGTAATGTGATGCAATTTGGTGCAACAACTACAATAGAATACAAATAAAATAGCAAAACACAACGAATAATGGGAAGAAATCTGCGATTGAATTAATTAATTCACAGTTTATTATTTCACTACATAATTGTGTGCCTTTTTATTTAATTTCGATATTTTATCTCCACAAATTCTTAAAGAGCCAGTTATGTTATGATTTGTTCCTACTCCTTTATTTCGTCCTTCAAATCATGCACACAATAATTTAAAAAAAATATTTTTTAGATTTATTTTTGTTCTTTCATAATTTTTATTTACGTTTTCCACCAAATTTGCCTGATGAGCCCATTATCAGGCAAATTTGGTTTTTCTATAATTTTTAAATTTTTTTCTTGAGAGACAGATCCTCACCCAAAATGTCTGTATTTTGCCTCCAAAATGCATCAGAATCGACATAAATATTCCTTATTACCTTTATACATTACTTGGCAATATTTGGTTCAGCATGCATCGCACTATGTCGCGAGTTCATATAAACAGCGGCCAAAAATAGAAGGAGTTATCGCAAGTTAATGAATTTTGGTACATGTGTTTATTTGATATACCTCCCATACAAAGGGTCTTGAAAAATCCACTTTTGGGCCTATAAATTGTTTATTTTCATCCAAATTCCATGAAAATTTTCAATTTGATGTAATTTGGACGAAGGCAGTAATTGGTGTTGTAATTTAGTTGGCTCATATTTCAGGTACCTACCATACCAAAAGTCCCTAAAAATTTAACTTTCTGTACTATAAAATCGTTATATGCAGCTAAATTAAGTATAGTAGTTTTATTTTTGTTATTTTTATTATAATATGATAAAAAATTATATCCTTTAGTAACTAATAAATTACTTTTTTATCATTCACAAAATTTTCAAAACACATATATATATATATATTATTGTCTTCCAAAATGTACGATTTATATTCATCCACGGGCCTTTACTTTATGGCTGTTTAAGGATATTGCAACGTCGGATTGTAATATAAAATACTAAATAAAATCATTATTTAACTCGGCTTTAACAAAAGTTCGGGCTGCTTCTAATTATTTGTTGGCATGACTTGTTAGCATCTTGTGAAAGTCGCTCAAAATGAATTGTACTGCACTTTGCAAATCCGATGTCATGAACTAATATTTTTCTGTATGAACTTTCGACAAAGGTAATTCGAATAACGTTTTTACCACTTAATTGCATAATTTATGTAAAATATTGTATTATTACTATGTTCTGAATCCATCTTCTCTTTCCTATACATAACATACATAACATATTTGACCATTCGGTTCTAACCATTTCATGAATATGCCACCTTTTTTCATAAGGTGGTCACCAAAAAAGTTAAATAACTCTTAGGACCGCTGGACTCCGCAGCTAATTTTTTTATTCCTTAAATAACACACATTTCACCACTCAAATAAAAAAATTAGAGCTAAACTTTTTTTCTGCTCCACTAATTTCAAAAATTTGTTTTACAAATTTGATGAGTTAAGTACTACAAGTGTGGACGACTGTATACACCATATGATATCTATATACCTACAAACTAAAGCGAATCCTAGTTTTTACATCCTCAGCTACCAAAATAAGCACTTGTATAATACCCGTTAATTTGAATATTCAAATATTTGAGCACCAGAAAAACACAACCATTTTTCGAAAATATGATAAAAATCAGTTTATAAATAATTATCAGATTTGAACCTTTGTATAGACAAAACTACTCGACATATCGATATAAAATTTCATATTTATTCTAATTGGAGTGTTTTCTATCAATCCTCATCAAAAAATGTGTCCTCCGTGGTACCTGGTTTTGACCATTTTTGGTCGCGGTCGTGACACTGTGCATCGTTATCAATAGGATTTCCAATCGGATTTTATTTGTTGTTTTCCACTTAAAAATGTCCTTACTATCATTTATAATATTCTAAATCGCCATATGTTTTTGTAGTCAGCTCCCTTTGAATTTATTAGCGAAAAATTTCGCACAAAATTTCATATCAATCTCCTACTCCCTGAATCCAGAATACCTAATTTGTCTCCAAGCGGATTTTTTCGCTTTCGAACTTCAATCAGAAGAAGGCGAAAGCGAGAATGCGAAAAAATTTCACCGGAAAATTTTGTTCAGAATAAGTCGAAGGGAAGAGCGAGTAAATTCACGTGGAATTGACATCCAGAATAAGGCTGAATATTTTTAAGAAAACGTGAGTTTTTAAACTTTTTCCAGGATTATCTGAAGATGGGACTTCTTAATTATAGTTTTTGAGCGTAGATTTTTTAAAATATTTTTTTCAACAAAATGTAGTATTTTCCTACAAATACTAAACATTAATATATCTACTGGATTTAGTAAATCCGCTGCAATGTAAACGTACTATAAGGTACGCTACTAAGGACATATTTTTTCTTATTTTGAATTTGGAAACCCCTGTTTTTGACCTGGGAGGTATCTAACGATTTTTATTATTCTACCATCGACCACCTTCATATTCAAAATAATGACCCAAATGTACCCGAAATTGAGTAACTACTAGAAATGAAAAAAAAAAATGGGAATTCACCTAACGTTCGACTTCGAACCTCTATTGCATATTTATATTATGGTTAGAAGTCACGCAGTATTTCTCATTTTTCACGATTCAATGTCATAGTGGTAAATATTAATCTATCTGTAACACAAATTTATATTGGCATTATTGCCGATTTTTTAATATTTCATTCTCAAAAGTCGTCTTTTTCGTTTTCCTACTACATCGATAATGACATCTGCTATGCGAAAAAATCAAGTTCCCAATTCCCCTTAAAAACGCAACAAACATTGATTTGCGCGTAGGAAAAATGATTAGGCCACTGAACTTATTATTTAATGAAAAGTTCTATAGTGGTTTTGATGTGAAGAAGGCTCTAGAGGCTTATATCAACATATAAACTGGGTATTCAATTCACGATGTTGGAAGCTGAAATTTCTGAAATTTCTAAACTAGAAGAGGGATTGCTCAATCAAATTGATATTGGTAAAAATGGGACCAGCAAACGTTTCGCACAGCAGTAACGATGCAGATACCTAAGAAGTTCCAGTACATGTGTTGTAATGGAAGCAGAGCTTTAAAGCATTTCCATTCATTTGCCTCATATAGTACACGATTTTGTACAATGTACGCCAATAAGAACCAATGTTTTTTGTTGGTGTAAATAATTATTTTATTTGTGTATTTCATTAGGAAACAAAACTCATTAAACATCGTGTTTATTAGCTGGTACAATAACTTAGACCTCAACGTAATAAATAAAATTGAAAATGCTTAAAACGAAACAAACAAACAAATATATTTGGGATTTTAGCTTTGACTAGTTAAAGTAAAACAAAACAATAATGGGAAAGGCAACTGGAAATTGAATCGTATTTAAGGTGCACACCAAGTAAATAAAGAAGTAAACATAAAAATTTGATTAGTGGTTATAATATCTGAAAGTAGTCACATTCATTGCTGCATTACAAAAGCAAAACGAAGAGTAACATAATTGCGCACTTTGCAGTGTTGCAAATAACAATAATAACAAATTTCATTTGGATTACTTTTGCTTTGAGAGAAATACATCTAAAACCATTGCTATAACAAGTTTCTGTTGGTACATTTTTGTATCTGCACGCGTTTATATAGAGGACACTCTTTTCGTGGGTGATATGCTTCACCGACAACTTCAAAGCCTCTCGACATAATTTCCTGGAAATGTTCCAAAGCAGCCGGTTCGCTGTGAGGTTCCCACATACCAGCCGTCATCACATTTCTCCAGGACATGAACAATATCACCTTCCAACAGCTCCAGTTCATCCGAGTTTTGTGGACGGTATTTGTAAAGAGCACGATATCTGAAAGATAAAAATGGAAAATATGTTAGAGATTGATCCTTCAAGAGATAACATGATTAAAGTTTAAAAGAAATATCATGATGTGAGTATTCTATACGATTTTTATTGGAACTTCCAGCAATATATAGGCTTGGTAAAATATTAGGTTGTGCAAAGTTTGTTTCAAATCGGACTACAAAATTAATTTTCAGCAAAACTCTGACCATTTTGTGCGGGAGGTAGCAGATGGTAGCATCTTCGAACTAGATTTACGTTTGGAAGAAATATTACGATATGCGATCGGTTACCCCCTTTGTGGATTAGCGTGCGCTATAGCCACGCAGCTACACCCATACACAGACGGTTTTGATCCAAAAAATGCGGTGCGAAGCAATATTTCGGTGAGGCACTTTTTGCCGTAGAAAGTGTATATAACCTCATGAGGGTATCAAACAATTTCAAATAAGACACGGAACTATGTCGAGGCGTTTTTACTTACACCAGGGGTTCCGAACTTGTGTCGACATGCAAGATATCGGTTTTAAGATTTGGTCGAGTTTCCCTTAGTATAGAATTTGGCGGTTGAACACCATTACGCGTTAATGTATTAAATTCATTGTTTATATTTGTGCGCAGGTCATCCAGTGAAGGGCGGTAATTGACGGTAGATGTCTGTTGTACTGTTGTTGTTTTAGCGGCAATATCCTCGGCACCAATATCGGTCAGCACCTGCAAAGAATTAAATAGAATTACCATCATACGATTATGTCAAGGATAAGGAGACAATTTCTTTACCTCTACATATGAAACGGGGAAGATGCCTTTACGATTGGCTATTCTACCCTCAAACCAGTTATCATCCACACGTCTGGTCAATGCCACCAATTCACCTTTGTTTAAGGATAGCTCAACGGCCGATTGGGCCTGGAAGTTATACTTTGCCCTAGCCTGACCTTCCGAAGGTTTGCTGCGATGCGTGTGTTGCGGCTGGTAGACATCCCTGTTGATAATCTATTACAAATTGAAGGGATGGCAGGAAATTCACTTTAAAAATTCTTGTGGGTAATCATTTTTATTTTCGCTACTTACTTCCACATAGTTGGCTGGGAATAGACCAATCATGGCATTGTGTTCTCCCTCATACCAGTTTTTATCTATAGCTCGTCTAACATAAATGATGTCACCCTTTTTAAAGCTCAGCTCTCTGCAACGATTCAAAATAATGTATTTTGTCAAGATCAAAGCGGATATTTGATTATTGCCTTTGTTGGTTTTACTCACTTGGAATTCTGTGCCTGGAAATTGAACAACGCCCTTGCAACAGACTTAGTTTGGTTTGGGCTTTTGAGGGCCAAATCTGCAGGGAAATCATCGTAGCGGTTAAGTGGTATGGGCGATTTCTGTGACGGAATAAAATTGTCCGTGTGACGACGTGAATTCATGTCTTGTAGTTCTTGCAAGTATTTACGACGTCTCTCTTCTTCATATAATTTTTGCATTTGTGCAGCCTGACGTATGGCCAATTCTTCCTCTGACAGTGGAGATTTAAGTTCTTGGCGTACAGGTGTCTTGAAGTGTATGTTTACGTCCGATTCATAATAACGATTTGGCGAGGCTGTGGAAATATTTGCATTCGCATAAGTAATAAGCATTAACATCGTACTAATATAGATTTTAGTTGGGTGCAAAAACACATATTCCAACAGAGAATCTATCAATCGTATGTCACATTCAATGGTTGAATTCTTAATATATTTTTAATGCTCCCCAAATATTCAATCCCAACTTTAGGCCCAGATAACAGTCCACAAATCAGGAACTGCTTAAACGCTTTAACAGTTCGGTCGATACTGCATTACCATTTAAAAGGTCGAATATCTGTTTTATTTATACTTGTAAATTTTCTATTGTTTATAAGTGGTGGACTAGTACATGTGGCACCAGGCACACACGGTTTCCGTCCAATCGACTATACATATGCACAAATGTTGCTTCGGAACAACATCCCACGCGCTACACTATGAATTTAGTATTTTATCCGATTCACATCCTTTTTCCTACTTCCTCGTATTTAACAAATATTTAAGCAGTATGCTTCCATAAACGCTTTCGAACAAGCTCGGTTGTTCCTCCCATCACGACCATGAAAGTGTTAGGCACACGCACAAGTCGGTGCGATCGTCCGATGCTCGCCAGTAGCTACAGAAGCCAATGAGTCACTTGCGGTTATTCTGACTTGTTGTTCTTCAATATGGAAGCAAGAAATAATCTGCCGGTACCATGGCGGGCGCACTCTGCCTTCCTGACACTGCAAGATTAAAAAACCTAAATGAAGTGATACGCTGTACTAATCGAAAAGACAGCATTTCTCTGTTGGCATACAAATCCACAAACTCAATTGTTTTCACTTTCACTTGCTGCTTTTGTTGTTGTTGTTGTGTTTTGGCCATTCCCTGTCTTTCGCAAGACGGGCAAATCCACTGTATACACACTTTATACTCACTCACATGGCCGAGATAAACTTAATAGGTCGATGGGCAACGGTGACATTGGTCGGTTGTCATTGTGGGGAAAGCGTAAGAAAGGTCGATTCGTCTCCAATGAAAATATATTTTTCGCGGCCTACGTTTCTGATTTTCATGTAAGCAGATAGATAACATTCGACTCTGTATTCACTAGATAAGAAATACCCTCACACTCACATATTCAAACGAACACCGACGTAGCGCGGCCCAAGCAATCCAATAAATGCGACAATGAAATGTAATTAGTAAATTGTTTAATAAACGAGCAGTACGTCGATCGTTATTTTCTCCTCTTCGTTCGTGATCTGACAACCGCTTGAACGAATCAATATAGCTAGTCGTTTCGCGGATCAGCCTGCACTGACAGACCACAAGCTTTTCAACCCAGCCGTCGTGCAATTGAACAAGTCTCTTTTGGTTGGGCCTTCTCTTTGTTGTGGTGTTACGAGTTGCAGGTTTATGCTCTGTAATTCTTTTTCTCAACGGCAGGTTTCGGAAACTCGCCAATAGACGGAAATGCTATATCAGTTCCAAAAGATTTGTACGTTCCAGTCAATTGGTATTTTGCATTTCATGCTCTAGCCATGAACATGGAACTTAAATAATGGAAAAGTTGATTCTATGGAAGAAAAAAAATGTGAGACCAAACAATCCGCACCCATTCAAATGCGATCACAAGATGATGTTCTCAGAAGTAAGGTAGGAAGGGAGAACAAGCTGAACATATTCACTCTCGCTCACGTATCTGTTCCAGGGATGGAAAATTCAGTACAATAGTACTTTTTTCAGTACCTTTTTACCCAAAAAAGTACCGTAGTACCTCCGTGACCATTTTAGTACCATTCCAATCCTCCATTAAACCATGATATATATACATTTTTTGGATTAGAATTTGTTATGGATTTGACCGGAAAAGTATTGCACGTAAAGATATTGATGTGTTTGCAAATTTTTTCTTAAAAATGAATGGGTTTACGACTGATAACTGTTCTGTTATGATTATAATTACAAACATTAAATTAATTTATCAGATATGTTTGTCAGCTACTCAATTTGGCGTACTCTGATGACATTCATAGTCGTCGTGATTACTTCAATAATTTCAAGAGCACTTTGAAACTGAAATTCATGTTAGTTTGGGGTATATTTACTTTCGAGAAAGAGGTAGTGAAATTAAAATTAGTCAATAGCATACATATTCAAATGCAATCGAAAGAAGCAAGAATTCTCATATTATTACCATCAGAAAGTTAGACTAAGTGATGATATCTTGAAAATCGATCTTTATAAAACTGAATAATTTTTTTTTTACTTTTTTTTTCTTGAAAAAGTACTCTTTTATTAAAAAAGTACTCTTTTGGTACTTTTTCACATTTTTCATTTTCCATCCCTGATCTGTTCATGTGGTGATTGTTTGACTCGTTTACGCTCTCCGACTAAATCCGGTCAGATCATAGGCGAGCCAGACAAACGACAACAATAGCAAAGATGGACAGTCTTGCACAGCGGCGTTGGTGCGTTCTCTTAACGTTTTTGTTGTCAAAACAAAAATAAACATTAACGAAAAGTTTTCCGTATTTATTTATTTATTTAATGGATTTGCTTTTTACACTTTATCGGAGCTTCTTTATGTTTTTAAAATGTTAAATTGAATAAATGTCGTAGAATAGACGTCGTTGTTGTTTTCCCTTAAACAAATGGATAAATACAATTGTACACTAGTTCAAGTGGCCCACGACTCACCGGTGTTTAGCACTTCCAATGCCAATAATGTGAGCACACTTTGTGGGCTTATTCCGTATATTTACAGTTTCATTTGTTTCTTTCATTGTTGTTGCAACAACAATAGACATTTAAACAATGCCAAAAGTTACAGAACAGGACTACCGCTCTAAAATGATTTTGATTCTTTTTGCCTTAAGCCTTATGGCTAATGATTTTACCCTCCATCAGCCTTATGGCTACGGCAAAGATGTGCCTCGTCGAAATGTTGGTTTTAACGTGTCAACATTTTGAAAAATTAATAGAAAATGTGCAAATTGTAATACAATTACCATTACCCCCACACAAAGGTAATGTTCGGTATTTAGGGGGATTTTGGACACGTTTTTCAACCAAAGTGGCTGTAATTTAGTTTTTTTGGGTCTTATTGTATAGCACATACACATACAAACAATTAATTATTAATATTGACTCAAACGGTACAAATGTACTCGTTTATTGACCAGTTGATTTAAGATTAAACATTTTATCGAAATGAACCCCATTACTCAGTTCTTGATGGAACAAACAGAACAACCCGTGGCGTTTCATAAAATTTAAATTTTATACATACACTGGTGGCCAAAACTAAAGCTAATAAAAATCATTTAAAACTGATTTATTGAGCTCATCTGTTTGCACTGTAGAAATGATTTAGTTCTGTCCAAGCAAAAATTTAGACAATTCCCTTATCCATAAATTATTATTTATTTCATAATGAATTCTTCATTAAAGCTATACTTTTTTTAAGTGAATAAAGTACTGAAAAAACCAACACAATATCTTTATTTTTGAAAAAGTTATGCGCAATTTGTTAACCTTTAGTTTTGGCCACCAGTGTATAGCTTTCCGAGTGAAAATTACTAAGTAACTTATGTTGAGAGCGTTTGCTCTCATGTGAAAAGTTGAATTTTGTTATAGGTGTTCCTATCTTACGACATGTGTTCCTATGTACGTTAGCTACATTCCCCGATACTATTTCTGATATGTCTTGAAAAATCATAAACTAATAACTAGTATTGTCCTCTTCAGTGCTTTTAACAACATTTTGTTCCTATGTATACACTGTTGTTATCGAATGGAATTCGAAGACGGTATTGTGTTTTTGTGGCCCTATGTAAGGTTTACTCTTGACTGTATTGTGCGAAATGCAGCACTGTTGCGAAATGCTTAAAATTAAAAATAGGCGATGGGATTGTCCAGCTGTTGCTCATACAAACATACATATGCTTCGGCTTCGTGTTTGGCTGTGACGCATTACCAACGGCAGTGCTGTTTGAATTGCACTTCGATTAGCTAAAAAGGTTTGGCGTTGACTTGGCTGCGGCGTAAATGGCTGGATACGAAGGCCTGTTCTTATGTTATATGCGAAATGTTCGTTATTATTGTTGGTGTCGCTGAGTCCATTGTCTGGTACTAATGATGGGGTGCTGCGGCTTTTATTGGAATTGCGAGAGACCCATAGCAGCTTACCACAGTTTGGTACATCACAATAGCCGCTGCTGTTTCGAAAGGCAGACTGTGTGCTCTGTGCACGGACAGAAGACGGACATCCGTGGTCTGCCGTTTTCGTTTGCCTTGCCGCTGTCCAGTTATATGAGCCAATTTGCGGGGGACTGTAGTTGTAATTGGGTGGAGGTATCCTGTGTGCGGCACTTACGTCGGCATGCCAATTCCAATTTTTTCCATTTGTCGTTTGTTGATTTCTGTTGTGGAACATATTGGCCAGTCGAGAATTTATTTAATTTTCGTGGATTTGGGTCGCATATCGTGCAGATATTACGCTCTTATGGGCGAATTGTATTATGCTCACAGTTTGTTTAATACTAAGCTATTTGTTTTGATTGTTTTCTTCTAAACTAGTGATTCTCGGAGTTTTCCGCGTTCTAGCGTTTTCCGTACTAAGTGGACAACTGGTTTCCTTCAGACTGTGCTAACGTGCCATTGGCGGTGGTAGCTTAGTAACTAACACCTGTCGTGGGGTGGGGGTGTGCACATACTGCGCAGTTCCGCTAGTTCTATGCCGAAAGCGGGTCATTGATTGACTTAGGGATTTTTTTTATTGATTTAAGTTTGTTAGGGGGGTTGGCGATGGAAACAAAAGTGTGCTGGACTGCACTCGATGGTTATTCGGTTATTTTTGCTTTTTTGGTTGGTAGTTGTTGGATTTTTTTTTAACACTCACCTATGTCTGTCACATCACTGTTGGGAGGTGGTGGAACTTGGGGTGTATCATTATCTAGGTGTTGAACACAGGTCAATTTTGAATTGGGATAGCCGATACGGTGACACGGGCGTAATAGTCGTGGCAGGTGGAAAGGGGGGTGAAAAAAGAGAAAAGGCATAGACATATTTAAATTTCGTAAGCAGGAAATTAACGCCATGAAAAATGATCGCATACATGAGGAATGCCAAAGAAGTAGCAATAGGCGGATTAATAGGAGGGACAGAGGAGGATTAAGACGAGTAGCGTTAAGGCGATGTTAAAAATATTACTATGAGCTAAGTGTTAGAAAGTTGAAATAAACCTTGAAATGACACTGCGTTTCCGCGACGAGACATCGCTTTGGACCATTGCAAGCGGGCCTTACATTTGCTGATGGCTTCGTCGGGCACGTAACGAGCTTTGGGCTGGTGTATTTTCGGATCGAATTTTTGATTGGCAAAAATGTCGTCGGATCTCTGTTTCGCCAAAGGCATAGCAGGCCTGGACGCTGGCGAATGGGTAGAGTACACGGCCTGATGTGGCCTTTCCTCGTCGCATTTTAGTTCGTTCTGTTCTGGACTGGGATATCGATGGGCAACCCAGTTGGCGGTTAAATATTGGGGAATGTGGTCTTTATTGGGGCCATGTATGTCGGGAGATGAGCGTGACAAACGCTTTATAGTTGAACTGTTGAAGTAATCTTTAGTCGCGGGGTGTTCGACCCGAGTGCCCAAGCTGGCAGTCTTACTTATACGATGAATATGTGGCATCAAACGGTTTTTGCGATTCAGCGGCTGTGGGGAGAGCAAGCGGCGCTGATGCACTCTCCTAGTGGAGGTATCATCGGCCTCTTTCTTCGTTTGTGCGATTTTATTGTGGATCTCGAATTTGTGAGTGATCCAAGATACCTCTCCTTTGTGCAAGGCGTCTTTTGACTCTGACTTGATTATGGTAGTATTCATTTCAGGGTCGCTGCGCACCTTTCTCAGCTTACGTAGTCCAAAAAAATGGTTCGTGTTTTGTTTGTTATAGCTCAGGCTCTCAAACTTATTGCGTATTTTCTGGACGTCACCCGTGTTGATGTGGTGCAAATACGAAGAGCACTGCGATTGAGGCGATACACTTCTGGATCGACAGTAGGTCTCCAAAAACTCGAGACTGCTGTAGGGTGTATAGTCCTCAGAAATATCGGTGAGGACATCGCGCTGCTGGTGGTGAGGTTCAAATTCATCTGGTGGCTTCTGTTGGGGAGAAAGTATGTGAAAATTTACTCGCGATGAATTCTTCTCGCCAAACATATCACACAAGTCCGTTAGAGACGAGCTAAGTTCTTTGCGTCGATGTAAATTGCTGCGGTACTGTTTGGAGCGCATCTTTTCCTCGATCATACGCATCACCTCGTCTTCGTCCGGCGAAGAGTCTTCTCGGGCGTGATACACAGTTTTCGGCGGTTCATCGTACTTACGTTCTTCGAAGTACTTGATTTTCTGCGTAATATCTGTGAGGCCTGGACGGGACGAGTTTGTCTTCCCAGCGTGGTTTTTATCGTGTGTTTCTGATTCTAGTGCGACGTCTAGTTTAGGCGCTGGAGGAATCTCGGGCGGGGTGTTGTCGGTGCACGAGCGCGTGTGGATTTGTTTGCGATGCGAACTTACTCCCGGGTTGGCTATGGCATCTTTTTTCTGGAGAAACGAGCCCAAGAGCTCATCCCTAGTTATCGATGATTTGCAGCGCACTTTAAGGGCTTGTGATGACGTGGGCGTGTTGTGATGATCCACCGTGACCACATAGTCATTGAAAGGCAAAGCTTGAGTGTTTTCCGGAGCCGGTGAATATATTTCGTTCAGTTGTCGATTGATTTTATCGATTTGATCGTTGGGCAATGTGCCAACCAACTGTTCATTGAAAGGCAGCTCCCTCGAAGATGGGAGTCGTTCGGAAGACTGGACTTTCTCCTCCAGTGTATGTGCCAAATCGGATACAGTATTACGACGCCAAGAGCGCATGTTGCAACATGGTTTTGTCGATTGCTCCAGATGGTCGCGCAAAAAATTTATTTTCTCGAAATTTTCACGCAAATCTTCTACGGATTTTTCACGGGAATTGAGTCCCGGGTCGGTTTCTTTGCGCCACTTGACCTCCTCCACATCTTTGGGCCTGAATAACAAGTTCTTTTCATGCTGATCGTGCTTGAGCTTATCCACTAAGTAATTCAGTTCGCGTTCGGCTCTTTCGTGCAGACGAACTCGGCGCCACTCGTCGTAATCGAGTAACTCACTCTCTTTGCGGATAGGCTTGAAATCTGTCTTCGATGTGGCTCTTTCCAATTGGCCCACACGTTCGAGTGTGCTATAGAATCGATTTAATTCGACAAATCGCTCAGAGTTATGCAAATATCGACAGGTCGGACTGTGGCGATCGTTACTGGCCAATGAAGTGGCACTGTGTGCCAGTTCATCGCAAAGGTATAGGCCACGTTTCGAACGGTCTTCGGCACTTGACAAACTACTGGCCCTTACAGTCTTGTTAATCTGGCTTGTGCGGCAACTGTCAATGCGGCGACGAGAAGGGGAGCGTAGGTTACGAGTCGTCGAAGTGGGTGGCACGCGTACCTCACGTGTGGGGGAAAACTCTTTCATCGCTGTGGTGGCTCCGTCGGCTGGACACTGGTAGGAGGTTGGTTGCGGTTGTCCACCCTTGGGACTAAGACTTCTGGATTTATGGCCTGAGACGTTGCTGACAAATTCAGTGGTTGTTGGCTGATGCTCCACGTTATAGGGCAGCGAGTTCGACTGTTGTGATTTGAAGTCATTCCAAAAGAGTGTCTTGTCACGTACGGAAGTCGCAAAGGCGTAATCGATTTCAATAGCAGTGTTATGCTGGCTAACGCTCTCACTCGATTCATTCCGCTGGTTAGGAGCGTGCAACAGTTGGTCGTCCTCATCCAGGACGGCTCTCCCGGATTCTGCGCCTTTTTTCGTTTTGGTCACTGCACGTGTTATTTTTTTGCAATTATTTGGTTTTTCCTCGTGTATTTTTGAAGAGTCTTCTTTCGATGCCAGTCCCCCCGTGGTTGCAATGTGGCCCAGTGAAAACGTGGAGTTACTTCCCGCCAAACTCACATTCGAACAAGTTTTTGATATCGTTTTGGCTGAGGACGACTTCTCCACTGATCGTTTCCTTTCTTTCGAATTGTAAACGTTCACCACCTTTGGTGGACGTAACCATTCGCTGAAGCCATAATGTTCCACTTCGGGATAGTATATGTTATGGCGGACAATGACATTACTATCCACAGTGGCATGACTTCGACAACCGGTGCAGAATCGTGGAACCGATCGACTTCTAGACTGAACGGCACATGTCGCCAACGAGCGGACGGCTTTTTTAACGTCCTGAGGCGACTTCAAGGACGGGTCCCTCAAGATATTTGTACTGGCCTCGAAAGTAAAACGATCAAGAGGGAGTGCATTTTCCAGGCGTTTCTTTTCTTCGGCGAAAGTCCTCTCCTTTGAAATGCTGCGTCCAAAGGCCACGGGACTTCGACTGGTCCGTCGTGAAATTAAAGTCTGACCGGCCGATGTCACCTTTCGCAAAGGACTCACATTTCGCACAGAACTTCCTTTGCTGCGCGCAGCTTTTGATGGTTTATTATACGTGGGTACTGGCACGGGCTTTGCCAAAACTGAAGACACGGCTCCGGCGGATTTTGAACGACATAACGTTCCTCGGTTTGCTGCTTTTCGTATTGTAATTGTTCCATACTTGTTGCCACCGAGAACTGGGCTCTCGGGTCGTTTGAAACACTTTGCATGCCTCGAAGAAGAGCTTGTGGGTAGTGCCGAACCTTTGCTCACCTTCCTGTCCAAAGACTTTGCGTACACAGTCTGCCGATTCGGCGGAGTTGGGGGCAAAATAACTTCTCTCTTCTCTTGTTCGAGCGATATAAATGAGGGCATGACTTTTGGATACTCGGGAAACATTGCTCTGCCGAATTCTTAGAATGTGGCTGGAGAGGCGCTGCCGCTCCTTCTACATGGGACAGAAATAATACAATTCTTTTATTTACAAATATCTAATGAAGTTGGCGGAGAACTTGTGCGTAGGTGTTTTCAATTTTACCAAATTCATCATCGACGAACGGTGCGGTTTTGCTATACTGACAAAGTGAGTCCATCTTTGTACGTTTGTGATTTAGTTGTTGGTTCTCGATGACTTGAAGTGTGCTCGTTGTCATTTTATAGAACAAGGTGTCGGACTACATAAAATGGGTGTCCGTCTGGACTGACTATGTGTATTATTAGTAGTAGTAAAGTAAGTGTTGCAGGTATAGAGAGAAGAGTGTTAGGCGAGCTTGTAAGTGGTGAATATTCAACAACGATCTACATATGGCTGTGTGAGTTGAGGGCGGCGCAATGTTGTCGATATTGGCAGTTTATTCCAGATACCAACTACATTGGCAACCCCCTCTGAACGACTAATCACGAAGAGATGGTTGAAGGACTAACCTTTGGATTTTTCAGGGGCTGGCTTGCGGAAACCAAACAGTGGTGGCTCTCCTCCTGACTGGACGTGCTTGTATGCCTGCTTCTGTTCTTGGGGGCTTAGTGGGCTATTCGGTGGTATTTCTTTTTTGTGTAGTACAAGGTTGGAGTCGCTGGTATAACCGGATTCCTTAGCCAAAGCTCTGCAAATGGACACAGGAATTTATTTAGCAGGACATAATAGATGCATCAATATACTGTATACTGTACCTTGCTAGATTTCCTTCGGTATAGCGTGAAGACAGCTTGGTCTGGTCCAGTTGCTAGACGGAAGATTAGAATGAAGTGTGGTTAGAATGTCATCGTTGAAAGAGGATAATTACGACTAGGTCTTCTGATATTCTGTACTTATAACCTCTAATTCGTTGCAAACGACCTATGAATCACTTACTTGGGGTTGGCCGTCGATATCGTCACTAATTCTAATCGATACCGATGATATGTTCGAATGATCCTTGAGCCACTTTGAAAGCGTTGTTAAATATGCTTGTTAGTTCATCTTATAATACACATACATGCATACATACATCTGTGTTGTTCAATATCTACATGTGCACGTGAATGTAATTAAATCGGTATGAGCGAATTATTCAATTCGATAATCGATGTATTGATTTTGGCTTAAGAGGATGCAACTAAGGCAAGGTAGATTGTATCTGGTATCGAATTATTCAATTCGATAATCCATGTATTGATTTTGGCTTAAGGGGATGTAACTAAAGCAAGGTAGATTGTATGTGGTAGCCTCATCAGCAATCGTTTGCAACAATCAACTGTTGTTAAATGATGACACATACATACACATGTCAAGTATATTTTAAAACAACAGACTCATATTTTTTACACATATTCACAAAGTCTATAAAAATCTCAGTTTTTTCCTTTACAATTCTGTTTTTAATTTTTTGTTTCGAATTGCAATAACAACATTTGACCGTTACATGTAGATATGAGCTGACATGGCAATCTGTTTAAATCTGCCTTGGATGCAACCCACTCTCGGTTTTAAAAATCGATTTTTTTTAATTATTACGAACCTACCACTACCAAAGGAAATCTCTTTAAAAGTCCAAGTTTAAAATTCAAATTCAAGTTTACCTTAAGAGCGCTTCCCAATACTTCCGTCGTGGGTTCCGCCAAATAGAAGTTTAACAAATTCTATCTTATTCAAATGGATAAGAAAGGTCCTTACCTTAGTTGTTGTCTTGGAGTTTAGTGTAATAAAAAAATTAAACATTTGCAATGTTCCAAGCCCACAAAATAGTTGATGTTAATTTCCCTTCCCATTGAGAAGCTTCGAAAATTGAAATCATGTGAACTAGGATAAATGTCGGTCAATAGCTTCTATATTTTTTAACTTGGTTGTGTTCATAAGTCCCCCATTTAATAATCCTAGATCAGAAATTTACTCTTTCCGCCCGCAGTCTAAAATTATGTTTTTTTAATTACAAAAATAACTCCAAAACAACTCCGGACAACAACAGCCAATTAATCAGCGGTGTTGGCGGGCCAATTAATTTTCTTATGCCAATTAATTTTCTTTTCAAATGCATATGGGCACTTCCGCAGTCACTTACACGACTTTCAGAGGCAAAATCAAATTTTAAATCTTAAATAAATCGAAAACAATTAAATTTTTTTACAATTCTCCCTTAATACTTTTTTTGTAGAACTTTAGGAGTACTATCAGTGGTAAACAAAATTGAGAACCTCCAGTTTTAGACCTTTGAGATAAAAGCCACAAAAGAGCGGTCACACACGCGACTTCAAATATACATGACTGTACACATCACTACTAATAATGAGAAACCTATGTGAATTGTGGGAATATTTTGAACTTTTAATATCCTTTATATGAAGAAGAGATACCAAGCATTATTATTGCACTTTCAAAATTTGCGAATTTTGCGAAGAATTTTTCTCGGTCACTCACGCGACGTAACTCACGCGACATTGTTGATTTTGCAGTTTTTATTTCGGCAGTGTCTGCATTTATAGTCATAAAATTAGTATTTATGCTAAGAACAAGAAGAAACCAGTGAGCGGAGCAGTATAGTCGGACGGGGCCGACCATACGATACCCTACACAACTACCACGAACTCTAACTTTCTGAGGATGTTTATTCCGAGTCTGAGTAATATTTCGTGATATTTGCCCCCTCCTGTCCGATTAGAGGTCAACAAAACCTCTTCCTTACTTTTTTCGAATATTTAGTACAGTCCTTCTAATTACTTGTCCAGATTACCTTCACGGTGGGTTGTGTTGTGATTTTCGGATTATACTCGACTCGAAAACACACAAAAAATTATGTTTTCGGTCCATTTCATCCCAAAATTTTAATTAGATCATCTCCGAAAATTGTAGGCGTTGTTCTTGACCATAACTGGAACTTCATGAAAAATTTCAAAGCCATCAGCGCGATATTTCCCCCTCTAATGTGGTAATGGGTTACTAAATAATATCTAAATACGTAAGCTCCTGTAAATATTTGACTGTAACTCCCACATCTGAGTAGATACATCACTATATTTGGTGTCAATTTAAAGGCCAACCACTCCTCTTGGATATGCTATCACCTCCTGGGGTCTACATCCTCCAGGAGTAAATATATATTCCATAGAATACAAATTTTGTCATTTTTCACACCAAAGTCAGGGTCCATTTGACCCGCTAATTATTGACCGATCTTTATCAAAACATGCATGCTTATTCTCTGGCCCGATCCCCTTCTCAATGCAAAAATTCGCGGTGTTTGGGCCATAATTGCTGTCTCTGGAGCGACCAGAAAAACCGACAAAAATAATGTTTTTGGTCCATTTCATCCCCTAAATATTAACCGATCTTTTCCAAAAACAGTAGGGGTCTTCATTGGCCAGAACCCATCCTACATGCAAAATTTCGTGAAGATTGGTCCATAACTGTGGCATGTATCGTGTTTACAAATTATAATGGACAGACGGACGGACGGACGGACACACATGTCTAGATCGACTCAGCTAGTCGAGATATGACGATCGGTATACTTAAAGGTGGGTCTAGGACAAATATTTCGCGGCGTTACAAACATTTGGGGCTGCACAAAGCTATAATACCCTTACAACATAGTTGTGTAGGGTATAAAAATGACAAATGGGGTCTTTCTTTGTATTTTTTGCCTTTACTTTACGTATTTAAGCACAATTAAAGAAACACATTCTTCGACTTTGGATTACCTTTTTGCGGAAGTGCCCATATTGTAAAGTTAAAAGTCTTCCATATAATGGTGGTTCATTTGGCAATCTGTTGAAAATCGTCGAATTTTCAAATCGAGAAGTCGAGGGCCCCCTTAAGCGCAATCAACCTCAACCAATTCATCTACATCTCATTAGTAAAATTAACGTGGCATTTTAACCAATCTCCTGGCATTCCGATTATTATTTTTTTTTAAGATATAGAAAATGTAAATGGCAGTAGTAAAACATAAATATGATTTCGTGAATAGAGAGACAGGTTTAGTTTCATGCTTAATTAAATAGTAAAGTAAGCGAAAATTTTGAACTCATACCACATTAAAGATGTCCATTACTTCGTCCCACCACTAGAAAAGTTGGAATAAAACAATTGCGGTTCATTAACGGTATGAAAATGAAAAAAAACCTTTTTTAACGAAACTAAAAGGTACGCAAAACGAAAGGATAATGCAAAGGGAATTCATTCAATAAAATCCCAAAATGGGATAAATTGGGACTGGATCAGAGATAGGTGAGCGTGTGTCATGATGCAATAATGAGCTACATCGGAGCGAATTAGTAGAAAAACAACTGTTTTATCTGACTTAACTTATATGTGGCGAAAATAATATTTTCTAGTGTGTTCATTTATTCAAAAATTTCTTACTGATAAACTCTATTCAGTAAACTCCATCTAAATTTTAATCCATCAAAATGACTAGGTCTGACAAAATTTCCAAATTCCGAACAAATTATATATACATATATATATATATATATATATATATACCGATACCTCAGCGCGAAAACGATCGTGGCAAAAGAGCGGTAAAGCACCTCAAACGGTGGTCAAAGCAGGACTAACGGCCAGGAAGGTTCTGCTATGCATTTGGTGGGACTGGAAGCCGATTATTTATTATGAGTTATTTCCATATGGCCAAACGCTAAATTCTGATCTCTACTGTCAGCAACTGGACCGTTTGAAGATAGCAAATGACAAGAAACGGCCAGAATTGACCAACAGGGGAGGTGTCGTGTTCCACCTGGACAACGCTAGGCCACACACATCTTCAGTGACTCGCCATACATTTCGGGAGTTTGGTTGGGAAGTTTTAATGCATCCGCCATACAGTCCGACCTTGGCACCGAGCGATTATAATCTTTTTCTTGCAAAATTTCTTTAATGATATAAAATTGGTATGTATGAGAGAGGCATTATGAAGTTACCTTTAACAAATCATACAACAAAACGGTGCATATTTGGCCCAAATCGGACATTCGGAAGCATGTACAACAATTCATCGGAGAATTTTTGGTGAATGGGCTCTTGGAATGTTGACCGAAGATGCACTTTATGAGAGTATGCCAAATTGCATTTTCTGAATGCTATGTTTTCTTTTGTCTTTTCCATAGCTCTTAAAAATCGCCCTTTATTTTCATTTGTAGTGGAAATATTAAAATGAACACACCTACAAGTATGCATTTTGACAACTAATCTGATAATATTAATATTTGCCATGATATATGTTATGTGTTTGTGTGCGTTAGTGTAGCAGAAGCAAGTAGTGATGCTAAGCCGATGCATGAAGGACATCGTGATATGGCAGATGGTACATGAACTGGCAATGTATGATGCTGATGGGTGAAGGACATAGGTAGGGTGTGGTGTGTCGGATATATTACAGCACTTACTTCTTTCGTTTCTTTTTCGGATATGGACGAATGACCAGTGACGTAATCTTCAATACGCCCTGGCTGATTTTTGTACGTGTTCTGCCCTGATTTTACAGGATTGGGCAGTGTGCCGTATAACCTGAAAATAAGATCGAGAAACAATTTATCATGACTCAGGCTCGATGTCCGATCCCACAGATACTACTTACTTGTCGTTACTACTGCGTACATTCAATGCAGACGAAACCGATTGCAGCCGTTGGGGGTTCACAGGACGATATTTAATGACCGAATAATCAGAGTCATAAGAGGGCTCTGGTTCAGACTGATAACCATTCGGTTTGGTTTGGCCACGACCTGTCAATCGAACGAGAACAAAAGGAATATTATTCACACATGCTGTGATGTCTGCTGGAGAGTTCAACATGCACTGGAGCTGTGCCTGCCACAGCAAGTCGTGCAACGATTTCAATTTTGATGCATTCAAGTGATGGATTAAAAGCGTAGAACATTTTGTGAGCTCAATTATCGTCAACGTGAGTACCATTACTACCCGATTATTGCAATTAGTTGAATGTCCATTTACATGTTTGTTAGTTACGTGCAATGTGCAGATCAATCAATCTTAGCGACAACTACGAGTAGTTATTCATTTGGAGACAAATACATTTCAGACGTTCTACACAGAAGCATATATGTATGTGTTGTTAAATGCCTCTGTAATATTAGAGTGAGGGTGCGAAATAAAGGTCCATATGTATGTATATGTGTAACGAAATCTAGGCGTGTACCATGTGATGCGAATGCCAGTGAAGAAATATTTCTGCGTATGTTAGATGTCATGTTTGCAACACAATTAGTGCAAATAAAACGGAGTAAAGTTGCCTTAAGTGACAACAACATAAAATATGCAATATATATTTTTTTTAAATTTGATTGAATAGGCATCATTAATAGATATGTCGGCAACTGATTATATTTTATTAATTATATGTATATATAAACATTACCACCCTCTGGTTATGTCGGTGGATGGAGGCACGGAACACAAACACAAGGCTGGATATCTTGAGATGATATAAAATAAATACACGCAAAAAGTAGTTGTGTTTGTTTCACATTTGTTCTCCTTGATTTGGAGGGTAGCTGCGTAACTTGGTTTCCTTGATTTGAGGGAAGATGGGGACATATACCTAAGGACGGATTTCACTACGGGCTTTTTTGATACATTTTTTATATTTTGGTTTATCTCGCATTTGTTTCTTTCCGAATACGCTAATTACAACCGAATGAGAAGAAATATGCATTGAATTAAGTAGAAAACAAAATGATCTTCTACAGCTTTTCATTCATCATATTCAATTTTTCTTATAAATTGTGAAATTTTTATTAATTTTTCATTCAAATGCGTGCGCAAATGTATTGAATTTCGTACGAGTTTGAGAAGAAAATTTAACCGGTTGGTAGCTATAACCTACCTTGTAATAATTATACTTGTTAAGTTATGAACCGGTAATGAAAAAATATAATAACCGAGCACAATCTTTTTGGAAAAAATTTAAGATGTCGGTTTACCCAAAACCTTTATTAAGGGGGAAACACATACGAGGACTTCGACATGACAAGTTATGGTGGCATCGTACGAAATGCCAATTTATACATGAATATCAGAGTCAAAATTGATTTCTAAAACCGTTCTAAAATCGATCTAAAACCGATCTCCATTGAACAATGCCCACCTAACATGCCATGTTTGAAATCCTTATATGTGTTCCCACCTTTAGTTGTTACGTGTATGGGTGAGCATAGCAGCATTACAGGAACACAGCCAGTGGTTCACAATCATTTGCCAGTGTCACATAGCTGCGTGGTCCATAATCAGGTTCTAGTGTTAGTTAAAAAGCTTTTGCAATTGTTATATTATATCGGGTTAGTAAGCATTAAAGCGTAACTGTTATTCTGGAACACCTTACATACAGAGAGTATAATAACGTAAACAACTACGCACATAGAGACATGTGTATTGAACGTTGTGTTTGTGGTATGTAGGCATTTTCTACGGACAATTGATCACCCATTCCATTCGGTAGCTTAGACGATTATGGGAATGCCATTTTACTTTCGAAAATGCCACATGATAGCCAAGTTACGGAATGGTAGGCCAGCTTTTACAACAAATCGAATCAAATACATGTATATAAGCATACCACAACTACATGTACATGCATGCATATGCACACAATACACCTAAACTGACATAATAATATATATGCACATGTATATGTATGTATATTGATCTGTGTAAGACAACTTGTGTCTCGTCCAAATTTAATCATATTTGCGATTCACCTCTTGGATATTTGTAGCGGATCACATAGTCGTCTGTAGATATAGTTGTATTCACGAATGTGTGTCATCATTGCATGACACACACACACACATGTGTTTATGTCGAACATCCGCAGTTTGTATAATTAATAGATGAACAGAACGTATACGAACAAACGCACGTACATACACAGGTCAAGGAGTCGGTGTCGCCCAGATGACAGCAGATGTGCAACAAACGAGAAACAAAAGCAGCAGCCACAGCAAAGTCAACGCAGTCGACCGATCGAGCAAATAAAGAAAGCCGAAAAAGAAAAATGTAAAGAAAAACATAATCTCCAACTAAAAGAGAAAACGGGCGGACAGTTGGTGCACAGAGCCAATCAGACGTAATGAATCGTGTCGTCTTAGCGACAGATGTGAATAGTCCTGACAACGAGATCAAGCGTCTAATTAGGGCAGGAGCGAAATATTAGGCCACATCCATGTCTCTGTGCATTCACGGTGTAAATGTAATGTAAAATGCTATTTTGTTTGAGGACACCCGACTCTACACCACAAAAATATACATGTGGGAAATTACAAAAATCTTTTAAATTCCTTGAAGCTGAGGTTTGCAGGTTATAACTCGCGAAATATGAACATATTGCATATAATTTAAATTCAACTCTATAAAATGAAGTGTTCTTGTCAAAATCTTGAAATATTGGTAATAAATAATATGTTGCGTGGAAGCTGTGATGGTGGTAATGTAAAAAAATGGGTGAAAATGTGTTGAAGCCAACGAGTTTTTTTGTGTTCGTTCCCGATTTGTGGCTAAACTACACAACGCACGCACATGTGATCAGTGACTAAGTTGCAGAATACCCCATGGACAATATGGTTCTAATGTATGATTTTTCGATATAATCACTGCATCCACCCAAAATGGATGCTGACATTTTGAAGCCGGATTTTCGGTGTTTTTTGAATTTTTCTTATAATTAGGATGCGCATCCAGATAATAGATTAAACTAATTATAGGTTGTGCTCACTGTAGCTTCTTTGCAATTGGGTTCCAAAGATGAAAATTTAGTGCGTACATTTTTATAAAAAACATATTTTTTGAGTCTAAAATTTAGAAAGTCCATTCAAATTCCGTGGAACCCCGCGTGATTTTAGTTTTTTTACGTGCCGGATCTAATGGGCGCATCCATGTTCAATTCCACTCAATAAAACGGCGGATATAGGTACCTTGAATGTGGGAAAAACTGCAAAAACTTATTTTGACAAATTTGCGTAAATAATCGCGGTTTTCTTCGAATTAATTTTACATGCATTTATGCTTGTATTGTCAAATTCGCGAATCTGTGTGGAAATAGGTCAAAAATACATCGATACGCGAATAATATGCGTATTTTATCCAAAATTGATTGCGGAGGCAGTTCTTAACCGATCCTTTTAAAGTAGGTGTCCTTTTGCGTATTTTCATAGGAGATTACTAAAATCGGATGCGCATAAAAATCGTATGCACGTTGCGTGATTTTTAGCCATTTTTAGGGTTTTTGCATAGTAAAGTGCATCGAGTGGCACACTTTGACCGCTAAATTAAACATCGAAAAATTAATAATTATTGAAAGACATTGATTCGGTTTATACGAAAATCGCATGCACATTAACTGATTTCAACTAATTCGCGAATTGCAAGCTTTTCAATATTGATCATTTTTATGTATTGTAAGTGCAATATATTTAGCCATTAATGACGTCGAAACTCTTATCAGATGAATCTGTCGATATTTAACAATCATCTAAAATAATTTGCAGAAGAATGCGTCGTATATTTTAGAAGATTAAGGCAAAACCGTATCCTCTTAACCATACTAAAAAATCGAAAATTCAAAAAAAAAAAAAAAAATTGTTTTAATTCAAAAATTATTTTATTTTCCGATATCTTCATGTTTCTATTTGTTTTTCGCGACTATTAAACCGTATTTCAGTGTGATTTGACTAGTATGCAAAGACAACAATGGTGTTTAAGCATTTGTGAAGAAATTCGCGAATTACAACGAATAGGAATTCATTTAATTTGTATTTAAAATACAAGATTTAAAACCGCTGTAACTTTTGTGCGCAGCTTCCGAATTTGTGAACGCGAACAGATTCCGAATCAGCATATTTTTCTTAACTTATGTACCAAAAATCATAAATGTGCTCGCAAAAAATTTTTTCAAAATTTTTTTAATGGAATTTTAAAAGAATTCTGTAATTTCCCATATGTATGTTAGGCAGTTGGCAAATAAAGTTCTAGATATTCACAATTACTGTCAATGGGCCTAGAACAATTCAAACGCAATGCGTATGCGTACGACTGATGATGATTCTGTAATCGGAGACTGAGCTCAAAAAATTCAACGTTGCAGTTCGAAGTTCCCACAAAATACAGACGCAAACGTCTGGAAAGTGTGAGATTTTGTGTCAAATCGACAATCAATTTGACATCCGCGGTTGACATAAAGGTAAAGGGAAGGACTTTAGCGGCTGCAACAACATATAATTCATTTCAATGAGAGAGAAGATTTATGCATGCATAAATGTGGTATAGAGTCTTTGGTCTAGCTACTCCTTTTCCCGAAAATAGCCTATATAGTATTTTCCAAAAATATTGCAAAAGAAACAACAGTGATTTTGCTTAATTACCGCCATGCTTCTGCTTGTGGATGGTCTGATACAGACGTTTGTACCATTCGTGCTGATGCGGCTCCTTCACCTCCTGTGCAACGGTGGACATGAAGAATTGTGGGAGCGGGAGAGAGATAGAGAGAGAGAGAGAAAACACACTCTTTATTGTTATTGGTCATTTCATGTAAAGCACACGCCATTGGGGCATGCTGTGGGTGTTTGTTTTCAATTACCGATCTCAGGATGATGGGCATGCCATCTGTTGTTGTAGGCCCGATGCCATCGTATTGACGTCTGCCCAATTGTGCCATTTTTCGTGGACGCTCGTTATCAGTTTCCGGTTCACTCATGTATTCGTGCTTAACATTAAAAACTGTAAGAGGCCTTAAAACATTAGTGCTGTGTCGACAAGTGGACAAAAACAAGGAGCCCACTTCGTTTCACACAAATCGGGCTCAGTGTTAGAGTTTAGTAGACCACCAATTTGTTGTGGGCATGCACATTACAAGTAGTTAGACATGGGGACTTGTATAAAATATATTCCTAAGGATATTGGGGTTGGGGTGTAGGATGGGTTACTGATCCGTCCGTGTGGCGAGGGTCTTACTTCACATTCGGTATCAATAGTCGAGATTCCCCTTTCAGTAATACAACATTAGGTAAGTGATTGCTCTCTAAATACTTACTGACTTCATTGGGTCGGCAGAAAGGACGTGCTTTATCGCCGGCGTGTTTGTTCTGCGAACGTCTGTACAGTTCCGTAGCAGATGCAGATCTTTCGAACGCTAATCGTGAAATGAAAATTACATGTAATGAAGCTATGCTATGAAAATGTCAGATTTTCCGCCGGGTCCTAGGTATTATTTGATATGGCAAGGTCAAATAGTTATAGCCACTAAATGTGAATTTCTATGCATAAAACACAGTTCCTCGCTTCTATGATTGTAGGAGCTATTCAGACGAAGACTTTAACCCTTTGAGCCCCGAATTTTTTCCGTAATCATAGAACAATTTTCTGTTCACAGATTTTATGCAACTATTCTAGATAGGATATGGACAAATTTTGACATCGCTACATCCTTGCATTCGGGAAATACAGTACATTCTTTCTGAAAAATAAAAGCCCAATATCAAGAAACCCAAATGCAAAATCTACGAAAAAATTATTTAAAGTTATTCTCTATATTCTGTTTTACAAGAATCAAAAATAATTCTGACGGCAGAGTTCGTATATTTCAAATAATAAGCGATTTAAATAATTTGGACTGTATACACAAATTAGTACTGTACATATTTTTGCCCTCTTCTCCATATTAAAAAGCTCATAACTTTACCAAAAATTTGAATTTTTTACACTTTTCTTGTGATATGTGTCGTCCATAAACAGGCCTTGACGCATGCAATCCAAAGAATATATATCTACTAGCAGTATATTAAATATTAGCTCTAAAACATTTTGTTGCCTGTGGGCAACATTGGGCCACAAAGGGTTAATTTGTATGTGTTTTCGCTTAAATCGAAACAATTCAATGCGCGGAAATATCGTTTTGAATTATAACAGCTTAATATCCTGGTACATAGATGATTTCAATTTTCGTATTTCAATATAATCGAAACTTTATACATACATATATATTTTTGGCGTTCAAGGTCAAATACAAGCAGTTTTTGCATAATTTCAAATATGTAACACTGTGTATTATAAATGAAAATCAATCATCTATTTATATTAATGGTAAAAAATAGCTAAGGCCATGCGCAAAATAAATGGTTTTATCTCTACCTTGACCCGGCTGAAAATTGCAATTGAATGACATTTATTTCGAATGGAATTTACTTCTGATTTTATCCGATACACTGGCCGAACGGTCACCGAAAGGAACAAATTCCGACGAATCTTGTTCGGATACAATGGTCGATGGTGGTGTACTCAAGTTTGTGCAGCTGTTAGGGGTGTGAACATCGGTGGTTTGGTTGTATTTGCCGATGTTATTCCATGGTGGCAGTGGCGATTGCGATGATGTTGACTGTGCTCTTCTGCGCGGAGTTGGCGATTCAAAACGTACAGGTCGATATTCTTTGCGGCCCAGTTGGGGCGATTGCTGTGGTGTCCAAATCACAGAGGATGCCGACACCGCTGGCGGTGGAGGCGTTGGTGGTGTTGATTTGATGTCGCTCAAATTCGAGGTCGAAGATGATGGTGTTTGATTTTTGGGTGACCAAATGCCTAAATATATAGATATTAAAGGATGATAGTTGAGGACCAGTTAAGAAGAAGGACAACAACAACGACTTAAAAGTGGATGGAACAAGTTAAAATGACCAATGACAATGACGATTTATACCCGATATCCCATAACATCTGTAAACGTTTGAAAGAAAGGTGACAAATTCAAGAGAAGAGACAGCAGCACGGCAGCGACGCTCCCCGTTTATGCCAAGAAAGAGAAAAACATTTGGCAATCTTTCAACAAAATGAATATTTAAAAACAACATGAAAATAACGAAGAAGAATAAAAAAAACGAAAACAAAAAAGATCGAACCACTACAACAACGTTGGCAATGATGATCATGACGTTCGGTGGCGCTGGTGGCGGATGAGTCACGACACTGTTGTTGTTCTTGTTTTTGTTCTTACTTCTTCGTTGGCTAGCGAAAAGGTTTCTTTTTTAATTGAAATGTTCCGCCAATGGCTAGCGTTTGTCTGTTGTGGGCGGGGGGCGGTAAATCCATTTTCCTTTTTTGTAATTGGGCAAGAAATAAGTGCGGTGATTGAAATTGAGGAGCGTTCACACAGTAACTGCGGATCTTTCATTTTTTATTTATACCAATTTTTTTGGGGAGAGAAAGAAAGCTATCACGGTCACCGGAAATGCTTCTGACATAGGTTTTTGCTTTGAATAACAGCTACCAGTACAGCATCGAGTGTTAGTGGACCAATTCTTAATGTGCGGCAATCAACGGTCTACAGAACCTAGCGAAATCGCAACCTTGATGAAACAACTCTAGTATTTTGAAAATGTATTTAAACGGCATGTACATAAGAAATTTTTGTCGCATTTATCTCCTCTTTGAGGATTTATTTGACAAATATGGAATGTAATTGAAGATTACGAAGAAGAAATTCGCTGGATTTGACGACGTTCTGAACACTAAGACTCAATTTGTATACAGTTTGATGTAAAGACTTGGCCATATTCCACAGAAACATTCGCCTCTTATAAAGAGTTTCTGATCTACCAAGTTCCAGTTGTTGAATTTTTGGTTCTCTTTCTTTTTTTTTTGGTTTTCGTGGTCTGACGGTAACCTCGGAGTTCCTTACGAAAATCTTTACAAATATTCCCAAAGTAACTGGGATTGTCACAAGGGACTGTTTTCACACTCCGTTTTGGTCTGTCCATGTGCCTTGCGACTAAAACCATCACTCCTTGCTAAATTCGAAAGTAACAACAAATCACTGGGCCCAGAGGCTACCCACTATACATACCCCTTGCCACATTTAGTCGGTTATCGATGCACTTAATCACTATTCGGTATAGAAAACTTGAATTGGATTTGGTATTCTGTCAGAACAGAACAGATTGCCACATCAAACGGTAGTACATATATTCAAAAACGGCTTCACGATTTATCTGGAACTTGTTCTTTAAATGTTGTCGTCAGCATTTATAAGCGATAATCAGCGACGCCATTGAAAGCAATCGTACAGGTATGTGGAATTTAATTATCAAAATAATAACTGAAACACAACAACAATGCCAACGATTTATCAGTTCGAATAGTACGAATGTGACAACACACAGTGGAGGAGGCGAAAAAAGAAACTGTAAAACACAATGCCGAACAGAAGTGGTTAATTCGTAGAAAATGTGTGGATTTTGGAGGTATATTTGTCTGATTCCCCCCGTGGACCTTTTAGTTAGTTTTAACTTGTGCCAATCACTACGGGTGCACTGTAGGACGTTTTTAACACAACAAATTGGCTCACTTGGTGTCCGCTTCGTATCCTTTAGATGAGTACGCTTTTTATTTAACAAATGTTTGAGTCCCGACCGATTTCCGTATCGGAGCTGCTGACTTCGTAAGTGTTGAGTAACAACTGAACTTTCGAACATGCCACAAATACTTTACGCATGGCAGCGGTTTGGTGTTGTGCTATTCTAGTCCAGTGCACACAACCAAGCAGCCAACCATACCGCGAGACAGTGAGCCCCTAATGGGACCATAACAATGCCAATAACAATCATCGACAGAAAATTAAAACGGGCTTGTTTTTTAAAACGTCGCCGACGTCGTAGACAATAGCAGCTGAGCAGCGGACACAACTAAGTCAGCACACCCAACCGCTGTGAATTCCGTTCTTATGCGAACACGTCCAACCAACGTTCTTTTTTTGTTATTGTTAAGTTTGAGCCAAACAATGAACTTACCTAACCAGCCCAACTTCCACCCCCAAATCCACCGTGAATGGATGTTGGTATGTGTGTGATGGGGAACTATTCAAACTAAACCAACACATTTGACAGTTGCTCAAAACGCATTTATCGGAATTCAATCCAATTGAATTTCAATTCGATTTGAATTGAAACGAACTGAACCGAACCGATTCGACTGTTTTCAATAAAAGAGAAGCTTCTGTCGATGCGATTGAGACAAAATGATGACTGATGTTGTCGTTGCTTCGCCCTGTTTTATGTTTTTTCATGTTGTTGTTCTTGTTGTCGTTGTTGTTGGTATTGTTATTCTGTCAGTGATATCACAATGCAATCTAAAGTGAATAATTATATTAACTTCCGGTCTTTAGAAAGCATTTGTATCATGCTATACACCCGAAAAAATAATCTTTAGTTGATCCAACACACCAGGGAAAGAAAATGAAAACCGTAGGATTGACGATCAACAATTCTGGAAAAAAGATTCAAAGTAGTCCTCAATGCTGAGGCCACTGAGGTTCTCTACACATCGACACCATCAACAATGTGCTCATTGAAGTATGGATTATTAAATCCCAGGTGTCTTTGCAAAAAATCCTTTTGATTTATAAATGCCCGTTAGTCGGGCTGGTGTGGACGGTAACTCTCTATATGGAGTAGCTCTGGGTTAACTTTTCGCCCCAATATGGTCTACTTTTTGACCATTTTGTGACATGAAGCGGGTTGGCCATTTGCTCATATTAATATGTTATGTATTTGAAACAGACATAAAAGTCATGAAATGGGAATCGGTTCGATCTATAAGCAGCACCCAAATATTTATTGGATTTGGATCAATTTGAAAGACTGTTTGAATTTTTAATGGAAACAGTAAAACTTGCAGATCTAGAGGATTCTTAAACAGAGCGTTTGTGCAAAGCTCTGTGATTCGTGCCGAATACGTCATATGTAGCCAACATAATTCGCTTGGCCAAATCATAAAACATATATGAGTTATTCTCGAACAAATGGTCACTTCTGCAGTCACTTACTCGACTTTCAGATGCAAAATCAAATTTTAAATCTTAAATAAATTGAAAACAATTATTTTTTTTACAATTCTCCCGTAATGCCTTTTTGTAGAACTTTAGAAGTACTATCAGTGTTAAAAAATTGACCGCCTCCGGTTTTTCATTGCTAATAATGGGGAAACTCTGCGAATTGTGTGAATATTTTGAACTTTTAATAATCTTTACATGAATAAGATATGTCAAGCATTATTATTGCACTTTCAAAATTTCAAAATTTGGCATATTCTTTATTTTCGAAGGAATTTTCTTGGTCACTCAGGGACGTAACTCACGCGACATTGTTGATTTTGCAGTTTTTATTTCGGTAGTGTCTGAATTTATAGTCATTAAATTTGTATTTATGCTAAGAACAAGAAGAAAAAATGACAAATGTGGTCTTTCTTTATATTTTTTGGCGTTACTTCATGTATTTCAGAATAATTAAAGAAACAAATTCTCCGACTTTGGATTACCTTTTGGCGGAAATGCCCATATGCTTGACATTCTAAAGGTCTGAAAGGTAAGGACGACTTGTAAGGGTTCATAGGTTTCGACGCATTTATTGAAGCAGTTTACGAGTTATCATCTTTTAATCTTCCAATCGTTGATCTTTTTATTTTGAGTGTATTATGGAAGCGCCCGCGTATCATTAAGAATCAAATCAATCGGAAAGTTTGGTTTCGCCCCGTTTGCCACTTCCAGCTACAGCTCCGTTGCAAGCAAATTAATTTGACCGAATTGTTATTTTTTATTTAGCGAAAAGGCGAACCCCAAACGAAGCGAACTGATTGGATGTGTGACCATTCGCTTGCAACTTAAGGTGTGGACAAGGTGTGTTCCCAACAATGAGAGTCTCGTAAAGGCAAAACATATTGGCTTGGATTAAGCAAAAGACAGAAGCTTTGTTTTGTATTCTGTACTGAAATCAAACGGGTCAAAAGATTTGAATTGGAATCGAATACGAGGTATACACATATAACGAAGCGACCACTTCATGGATTGCATTCGCCCATTGGGAACCCTAAATGGCGAATTACAGCAAGATAAATTACAACATACCGAAAGGGGAGTGATGCCGTTATGTGGCACCTGTTACAAAACGACTCTTCACCTCTTTGGATACATGCTGTAGATGCGCCTAAGTCTGTATTTGTAAGGTACAGTAAAAAATATAACGATTTAAATCCAGGTCATTCTATTAAGATTTTGGTCGTATATAGGCATAGACATTTCATGCCAACCGTTCAAAACATCAAACTATGTCTAAATCTGGGCTGATTTGGACAAATCTTTACTCACCCTTTTGTAGCCTCAATATGATACGCTGTACAAATTTGTGCTTCAATCGGACAAACACTCAGACTGTGGTGCACTATTTGGACGAAACGATATATGACGGTTATATCTAAATCTGAACCAATTTTTGGCCAAATAAATAAGCTGTCCCAAAATTTATCCAATTTATTATTGTTTACAATTGGACTGAAAGACAGTCAGACGGGCGGACATGCATACATTTACTCAGAAATCGATTCTCTCCATATTCTTAAGATTATGTATATCTCGTTTCTTTTTGCATGTTACAAACCTAGGCACAAAAACAAAACACACTGTGCTGAAATAGCCTCCAGCGTATGGTTAATATTTGTGGTATTAATCATTCGTACGAATATTAATTTTTGTATACTTTGCAGGTTCGGTGCAACTCCATTACATATCTTTCTTATGGAATTTGTTCAAAAAATATTTTCAATTGTTCACCAGATGATGTTTGGTCTGTAATGTGCCAATTTCGAATCAAATTCAAATACAATGTTTACATAGAGCTTCCATGAAATAATGTTATTCGAATTGGGAAACAGTAAGTCATTTTGCAAATATCATTTGCTTCCCATACTCGTTAGATGAAGCATTCAAATGGGCGAGAGGGAAGGGAGAGAGGCATGTTTTTATCGTTTCGTTTTGAATTCTCCACCGAACTGTCATAAACAGTGATGACGCTGTCTTTGTTTAATAAATGATCTAATCACTCGGTCAGATTTATGGCACCTCCGATTTATGTAGTTCCACGATGATGACGACAACATGCTCGATGATTGCTATATATACCGAATTCTACAAATTTAATTCTTACCATGGATATGTGTAGCCGATAATAATAATAGAGAAAACATCAACGGAATCGGTTAAGGTCGAATATCGTAATCACCCACAACAAGAAGATAATTTTAGAATAGAAAACATCAGAAGAACATAAAGCCAACGATAGCATCATAATGACCAAACATTGTATTTTTTTAATAACACAAACACACTAACACCAGAAGCAAAATATTGAATATATTGAAGACAATAAACAAACTAGAAATTCGGGGGATGGAGGAAGGTAGAACATTTTCATATGGAATGAATATGTTCTGAAAACGATTAAAAAAAGAAAAAAAAACAATGGAAAATTAATAGCAAAAAACGATAAAAATAAAAATAGAGGCCAACACAATTCATTTACCCTATCCCAAACCTCACCATCGCAAGAATTGCCCAACATGGACCGAATTATGGGCGAAGCGGCACAGCTAAATTGCGTGCATTCATTGCACAGTCAAAAGAGCTGTAACTAATTGACGTATGGCGGCGACGAGGGGGAACTCAATTGCATGAACCCGACAAACTGTCGAGTTTCGTTAAACCACAGACGAACACGTGTAAACAAATTTGTCACCAAAACCCAACAGTTTTCCAAAATGTCATGTTAAATTATGTTTATGGGACGCGAATGGGAAGAACCACAAATGGACACAAGTATGAAAGTGGCATTCGAACCACCAAACAACAGGTTGTCAGCATTCGCAGGGGATGCTGCTGCTGTTGTGGCAGCCGCCAGACTGATGGATAATGCAGCTTTTCTATTTACCTGATCCGGAGGGAGCCTTCGCCTTGAATTTTGGCGTAAACATGCTGGGAGACTGGGCCTTTTCTGTAAAAATGTTCAAAAACAAAGAGGCATTCAATTTGTCATTCGAATAACAAACTTGTTTTCATTGACACAAAGTTTTCGTGAAAGGTGAACGTGAATTCCCATCTTCACCGAATCGGTGTTGTGATCCATCCATCCATGCAAAACTTTTCACGTCAGTATGCACTTGTTGTTGGTGTCCATCGGTTTTGACAAATGGTGGATGCCAGTCTGTATAGTTTTAACTAACCCTGTCCCATATTTCGTTACACCGACTACTGCACACGATCGGAACAGAACACAACGCGCGAATTTGATTTAAAAAACAAGCAATCCGAGAACAATCTGTACGCCTTTACGTCCGAAAGTCAACTTGTTGGTCTGAGAACTTTTGTTTTGAAACTGTTCAAGAAAATTATGTTCATCCCACCACCAACCACTAAAATCATCATTATGATCATCGGCATCAGCATCTGCGCCCCCACCGCCACAACCCCAATAGCGTTTAGCAGCTTCTCTCACTGTTCGTTCGCAACGAGATGTGAGCAAACATTGCTGTGCGATGGGAGGCTTTCTCATTCGACGATCAGACCCATAATCTTTCCACCGAGATAAGATGAATACAAACAGAACAATGGCAAGAAAGAACGAGCGAAAGAGAACCAGAAGGAAAATCTTATGTAAACAATGGAGATGTGAGTGGGCCAGCGATGGGATGTCGTAATGTTGAAAACGTACTATACACCCATCGCACTACCACAGTACAAACACATGGAATTATCGGGTATGTTCTGGAATTCATTTTGTGTTTAAATACAGGTAATGGCTTATTAAATAAGGTATACCGGTCCCGAAATACCAACCAGAACCACATATACTAAAATCTGGTCTACAATGACGTGGGTGTAATTGAGGTAGATATAGATAGACCCCACGTTATATCGGGCGTTGACTGTACATCATTTTAATATCTTCTTTCTTTGCTTATACATATGTACTTGGAGATTTCTAATTATTATGTTGTTGTTGGTTTCTTGAAGGTTTTTGAGATCAAAGAGAAGCTCTACTTTGTCATCCATCAATAACAGCTGATATCTAAATTTTGTGTCAAAATATATTGAAAATGTAAAAAATGTGATTATTTATACTCTTTCGAATCGAGCTTAAGGGTCGAAGTTTTGCAATGAAAAGGAAAGCCAGGCTTCAATCATTAAAACTTCAATCATTAAGTTCGACTCGAAAGAGTATAAATAATCACTTAAAAAGTACAGAATTTATTATATATGAAATAATGCTGGAACACATCGGATCCTCATTACATTTAATATCATATAGTTGTAACACCTCTATCGCAGACCGATAATAATAATAGCTATTTCCAGTTATAACTTCCATTAGTACCGGATTGTATCAATTGTCATAGCTTCGGATCTCTGCTTTTGTTTGGAAGGGGCAGATAGCGATTCCAACGTTGGGGAACACTTGAGACAACCATACACTTTGTCCTCGGTTAGCATTATAGCAGCAACCACCTCTAAACCACCCACGTACCTATCAATTCATTTATATATATACATATATTTTACCCACTGCCCCAAATGGTTGACGAAGAGATTCGTGTTGATTTTGGCAGTTGTTCGGTGTGTTCATATGTGCTGAAATTGTATTTGTTTATTTCGATTCTTTGCTCGGTTGCGGAGATGGTTGCGTTCCCTCGCATTGTTGTAAATTATATATATATATATGCGAAAAAATTCGTTGTGAACTTCGATGAATAATAAACATTTTGCATTGTTTAATTGGCGTGTGTGTAATACCCGCTTTTGTAGGTATGTAGTCAGTAATGATTTAGACATTTTGGAATTTTTTGAAGAAAATGTGTGGGGTGTAGAATGGATAGGACAAGAAGCCAATTCAGCGCTATTTTTTTTTTAATTTTGATTCGGTTATTTTATAAGTTAATCTAGAAGGAGGGCAGGGTTGAATTTTATCCATGCAATCATACGGAAGGAATGTAAAGGGTATTTCAAAAGATTTTCTCACCCACCATCTCGAAATAGAAAACCTTTGGCCAGCTTCAATTCTTGGTCGATTTCTTGCAGCAAATCGCTTTCCGACCAGCTACGTCGATTTGCAGGCAGTATGAAGCGAGTCTGTTTGCGAGATCGCTTGACCAACTCTGGATCCGCTGCAGGCTTTTCAAAATCGGGGCAACCGTTGTTGTTGTGTAGCGGCAAATTACCTTTAGCTCTACGCAATTTGACAACTATTAAGCGAATTAAAAAAAAAATATAGAAAATTCAAAATACCACCATCAACAGGTGAAATATATATATATATATATATATATATACATATGGATATATACTTGTTTTATGTGTCTCATGTAATTTGAGGTACGAGGTAGGGTTCGTCTACTTTGATCTGCTTAAATGGTCATACCATAAGACTACTACTGGAATCACGTTCCGCGAATTTTCTAACAACATCTCCTTATTTGTTCATTGTTCTTGGAAGCTGTGTACCATATAAAATGTAAAAGATACCTCACAGAGTACGCGACTCAACGATCTTCGTCATATTCCCAAAAGGGTGTTTTAATATATTTTCTAACCAAACACTACATCTTTGTATACAAACATCTGCCATTTATGTATATACAAACTCCAGGGTTATTGACTTTTACCTTTTGTGCATTATTTCATATGAATTCATCATTCAATTTTGAACCTTCTAGGCCTCCTCCGGCCTCAGCAGACTTCAACAGTTCTCCGCGGTTACTTTGCTAAATTAGCTTGGAATGAAATAACATGGCAATAGAATATCCGGGTTTCTACCTGTGCATCATAGTCGCTAGTTCAAATATAAACTGTTCATTAGCTAAATCTGATCTCATCGTTGACTTTCTAAAATTAAAAAAAAAAACACAAAATCTATTGGTGTAGCCCGATAATAAAAACGAAATGGTGATGTCACGATTTCCTTCGTTTCTTACTAGATTCAAAATACTCAACTAGATGCTAAATAATTGTTGACAGTGGGTCCTCGCACAAGCGAATGGGTGAGCGACTAGATCTGCATAATTTTCGACAATGGAAAAGAATTGAAGATCTATCTCGAACTCGGACATTTACATATTTATAGGAGTTTAGCCAGTATCCAATGGCATCATCATGCAAGCCATTGTTTTGTCAAACGCACTCACACACTCACACGCACTCAAAAATGAATCAAAGTATAACGCATAAAAATATACGAAATTAGCATTGCATTATTATCTTGGTTAGAACAAAACTACATTTGATTTGTCATGTTTTTATTAACTAATTTGGTAACAATTTCAACAGATTTATTAGACAATATAAATGTTCGTTCGTTCGTTCGGTCGGTCGGTAGTTCGTTCGTTAGCTTGTCCTTCGATCGTTCGGTCAATTGCTGGTTGCGCGCATACACAAAAAACTGAATTTCTAATTATAGGGTTAAATAAATATTTTTTTGTTTTTGGTTTTGGTTTCCATTGCTTTGGTTTTCTTTTTTTCAGGAGGAAATCTTTGTTAATTTGTGTTTTATTTGGTGAGCAAACTCTTAAATACAATCGGATTAATGTTATTGTTTATACATTTTTACACATTTCAGTAGGTATGTTTATGTAGTTGTAACGTAAGTTTAGTTAAAGTAATTCGTTAAAAGAAGAAACAGACATTAAGGCAACTTATGTTAATCATACAGAGAAGAAGAGGGGGGGAGAGAGAGAGCAAGGGCATAGACCGGTGGGAGTCCACGTGTGCCCAATGAAAGGAGGTGAACCTCGGAGGAGAGCAAAGACGTTAACGAGGCAGCTTTTATCAGTGTATTGTGATTATTCAGGCTGAGGGTGTAAGGACAGTGATCGTGAGGGATCACTGGTCAATGAGTGCAGAACTTTTTTGTGGTAGCAGTTGTGGTTCGAGCTGTATGTCATTTAGGTTCATTCGTGGAGCCGCTTGGACGGGAGCTTTCTGATTTTCAAATATTCCCTGCATTTTGAAAGTTGCGCCAATAATTATCAAACTCTTCTAAAATGCGGCCGTGGAACGGAGATTTGGCAAACATCTCTTCGAAGGTGTTAGGACACAGGCTTGGGTCCGTGTCGGGTGCAAGAGCATTGGCGAGAGAATCAAATGTTGGTGGATCGGATGTAGTTGAGACTTCACAGCAGCGCATATCATCTTCGGCTTCCTCTAGAGAAGTTGTGTGACCGCCATTAAAAAAACAAAAACAAACAATCAAAACAGAATAAAAATGCTCAAAAGAGGTAGAACAACAACAAGAAGAAGAGGAAGTGGAAGGAAGACTTTGACATAGAGTGTGTGGACTGAGATGAGTAGAAGAATGAGTGAATTCACGAACACTTTTTACTGTGGTGACGATGATTGTAGTGGGGGAGTGTGGGAGGTATTGGGATATGCCAGATGCCAAATGTGATGGAATACTCACACCTGTGATGTGATGGCCACACTTACATACATGTTATGCATTCACATACTTAGGTAGATGGGGTAGTTGGGGGATGGTTGGATGAGAGGGTGGATCCGGTGGTGGCGACGACACCTCATGAAGTACTTAATCATAGGATACGGACAGATAAATGTGCAGTGCTGTACGCAAATTCAGGCTTGCTTGGCAGCAGGTCAGGTGAATCTCCTCCAAGCAGTCCATGCGGACAAACCTATTAACACAGCGGAGCCCAGGATGCTACCAACACCAAGAGAAATAAATGAATCTGTTTGAGTATCAGTGTCGTCAGTGTTACGAGTATTGTTATTAGCGTTGGTGTTACATGAGATTGCGCAAGCTTTGTGGACATTTGTCTCAGTTGATGAATGTATGGACTCACCGTGACCGCCGTTTTCGGGAGGCAGCATCGGAGCCCTCACACTTTTTACGGTCTTCACCATGGTCGATTGCTTGAAAGCCTTACTAATCGAGTTGTCAGTCGTCTCCTGTATACGCTCCTCTTCTTGGTGTTGCTCGCGGTGACCGCCCTCGATCTCGTCACGTTGATGGTTCGAGAATTTCGCGAATTCACGCAAATGTCGCGGCAAACTGCGGAGATTCGCCTCGTGGTTGCCCTCGAGTATTTTAACCGGTGGCACATCTTCCGTTTCACTGGACTGGGCTGCGTTGTTGGGGTGCGATTCGGCACCAGACTCCCAATCACTGTCGGCCGGCATCGACAACTTTGTCCGTCTCTCCTTCACCCGGTTCAAGAACTCATCGCCCAAATTCTTTTGCGCTGCTCTGTGTTCCGACGATTCTTCTTCATGCACCTTGGATATTTTGATTATGTTCTGCAGGCGGCGCTTCTCACGTTCGGCCACTTTATTAAGCCACTCTTCGGCCATCTGCTGGCGGAAAACCTCATCCTCCGTGAGTGTGGGTAATTTCGGAACACAGCGATAAGATTCGCGATGTTGTCGCGGCGATGGTTGTGGCATTGGCATGGTTTGTGCTCTGTTAACCTCTTCCAATAGACGTTGGCGCTCCTTCTGCAGGCGTTCAAATTCCATACGCAACTCTTCCTCCTTGCTGGCAATGTACTTCAGCTGTTGTTCGTGCAATTCCCGCGGCAAGGAAGCCCTTCTCTGGCGCATTTGCTCCTCGCTGACACTCACCTCAATGGGGTGGAATCCGGATGGCTGTGGGGCTGGAGAAGTGCCGCGCCGCGTTGTAGTGCTGATGTACTTCGGGTTGGGGTCTCTCTCGATCATCGAATAGCAGCTACCGTAGTGGGGACGACTTTGCTGTGGAGCTTTATTTAGCATCGGAGCGTGAGACCTTCGAACATTGTAGGCATTGTATTGATCGTAGGAGTGTGAATTGTACGATAAGTCGCTGGTTGAAGCTGTCAAACGTGGTGCCCTAATGCCGCCCGGTCGGCGCTGATAGCAAATTTCCACCTCCCGAGCGAAGGGGCGCGTAATGTTCTCCGACGATCCCAAGTCGCTGGCATATTTAGACCAATCGTCGTCGGTGGCCCGCTGATTGACGATATGGGTATGGGTCTTGCGACCCTCATCATTCAAGTTGAACATTGACTCGGCTCTGCGGAATCGCGAGTCGTCGCCACTGCTATTGTCGGTCTGTATAGGGATCTGATAAGTTATTGGTGGTTGCGGTACTGGTGGAGCTCCAGTCGCCATATTCCGATTCGTTGCCTGGTAATTGTAACCGTTCTCCACCTGTATGGGAATTTGATAAGAGCGCGAATTACTTGTGTCCGAACAATAGCCACTGCGGTCGACACTGCTCATTCGCAACTGACGCGACTTCATCGATCGTTCTATTTCCTTTTCCAGTTCGGACATATGATCGTGGCGCAGCTTATTGAACTCTTCGATTTGTTCCTTATGTCGCAACTGGACACGGTTGAGATCAAAGAGAGAAGCCGAGCGTTCCTTTTGTTCCCTTTGAGTTTTACTGGTCTCCAGCTCCCTATGAAGTTGTTTCGATAGGTCATCGAATTCTTTGAATAGTTTTTCATGGTCATGTTGGAATACTTGTTTGGCATTCGCGCTGGGCGAAGCGGTCGATGACGAAATAGTGCCGTGGTCATTCGTACTCACGCCGTCCGAGGTTGTTTGTGCTGCTGTGGGTAGTACAGTGGCGTTGGGCGCGGAGGTTGCGGTGGTGGCAGCAGCTTCCTTGGCACGTTGCCTAAATTCCTCATAAGAATCTTCGATGCCCCTTTGCAGCGCCGTCATTCGTTCGGAAGCAATATGTTTCTGTTTTGCTTTTTCTTGCTCTTCGTTTGGCTGTTTCTTTACGAAATCCACTTCATCTCTCTGACAATTGTGAGTGGAATTTTCGTGGCTGTGTGTCACTGTAGTGGTGTCGGTGGCCGACGCCGAGGCACTTCTATTGTTCAATGTTGCCGAAGAATTATTGTTTAATTTTAAAGCTGACATAATTTCGTGGTCATCTGGTTTCGCCTGTTGCAAATTCGAAAAACTTCCCGACAAGAGCGGTGCTGTTGTGGGGAACTTGGCCTTGATGTCTGCCGGTGTGGCTTCATCGCCGAAACTCTGCTTGTCATGCTTTGAATTGCTATAATCAACGACGACCTGGCCATTTTCAATCCGTTTCTGGCTTTCAAAAGAATGCGTTTCTATGCTTGAGTAGCGTTTGGGTTGCACGTCCTCCGTCATGGGTTGACTCGCGGACGACTCAATGTTCGAGAAACGCTTGTGCTCCTTGTCGAAAATGTTGGAGGACCCCAGCGTGGGAAACATTTCACCCAGACTCGATTCGACACTTTGCATATTACCTGAAGAGGACCGAGGAAAATTGTGTGACTTGTCCGAAGATCCGTTAGTTAATGTTATTGGAACGATGAACGTGGACGGTTTCGATTGCTGAGGTGTTGCCGATTGTTGATGTTGTTGCTGGTCATTACTTGTTGTTTGCCTTGAGTTATTTTCAAACGATGATGAAGATGATGGCTGCTGTGTTGTTGTCTCTGATGTTGGCTTTTGTTGCTGTTGTTGCTCGCTGAGAGGCGATTGGTGAGATTCGTTCGTATCTTTTATTATAGATAAGAGACGATGCTTGTTCTCTTCTTCCTCACAGCGAGTACTGCTGGCTGTTCTATCTGCTATTAGGGGAGCAGCGGTGGCAGTGGTGACGTCACTGGTACAAACATTGCTGGTATTTGTGGTCATACTGGACGTTGCCGTTATTGATCGTTTCGATAGATTCTGTGCTTTTGTGGCCGTTTCACTACTCTTGGCAGGCACTGGAGGCGGTGGAATTTGAGGTGGGGGCGGTGTTAGACTTTTACGTAATTTCTTCATCATGGCTGCAGTTTGAAGTAACTGCTGTTCGGCCAATTTCTCCTGCTCTAGTGCATTCAGCTGCTCCTTGGTGAATTCGTGGTAGCCGCGGCGCTCCACGAATTTCTGGTGGGCATCGAGTAGCTGGTCGGGATGCTGTTGCAATTCTTTGCTAGTGGTTGTTGTAGTTTTCGATGTTGTGAATATCTGCTGTTGCTTCTCAATGTAGGACTGTTGGGAAGGCGACAAGCAGACTAAAACTTTGGGATCGAAAGACGTGGGGACCCCAACCCATGAGTCCGGGTGTTTGTTAGGAGAAGGTGGCCGCCGAGGAGCATTGGAAGTGCTTTGGTTCAGAGACAGGCGTAAATCATCTATGTGCGGTAGTTTCGGTGGGGGATATGGCATTTCGCTGCTCTGGTCAGTTAAGGGTGTATCTGCGTTGTTGCTGGCGGTGTTTTGGTGATTCTTTACAACGTTGACTGCCTTCACTTCCCCAATGTGCTGGGCCAAAGTCGCCAACTCTTCCAAGACTTCACCACCGTACGGAAGGGCAGCCAAAGTTTCGGCGCATAACAGGCGAAGTTTTTTGGGATCTGCTGAACCAGGATCTGGCTGCTCTTGATATTCACTTGCAAGTGTTTTGAACTTGAGATCTGAAATTGAGGAGGAGGCTTGATCAGACGATGTGCTCTGGGTTAGTCCAACATTTATGGCTGTGCATTGGCTGAATGTGGTGCTGTCGGAGCAATGTGAATCCAAGGACTCTTGGCGGGCCAGTGAGGATGTGTTTGGGGTGGGTAGGGACTGGAGATAACAGCTTCGGTTGGATACAAATTGTGCTGGTGGAACTGGTTGTCGACCATTGTGATTCTCGACATTTTGCACGAGTAGTGGTAAAGGATCTTGTTCGAGGTCGAGGGATTTCGGTGGGGGTGGTATTGGGGGAGGAGGCGGTGAAGCTCGCATTGGTTTAGATGGACTGTCAGTAGGACAACATCGATTCACTAAAACATCGTCATTCAGGGCGCTAAGGTTTCTGTTGATGTTATCATTATTATTACCGTTTGTATCTGCCGTTTTCGTGGTGTCCGAATTAATTATGTCGCGGACCGTATTCATATTTTGACCGTTTTCCGTTAGAACCTCTTGTGGTTGTTTCACAATTTTATCCGCACGTAAACTACTAACACTACTACTTGTATTTACCGAATCGCAACTAGTTTCGAGCAGTCTTGCCTGAGCATCTGACAAGAGGCGCAGAGCATCGTCGATGTCTGCGAGTCTCTGCTGGCCGGAACTGCAAGAGAAGAGACCTGACAATGCTGTTGGCTGATCTCTCGACGCTCGTGCGCCACTCGATATATTCTGTTGCTGAATGACAGGTGATGACGACGGTGGCGTTATCCGAGAATCGTTGTTTACAAACTGACTGTTATTGTTTGTGAGGTTCGTGAGCGACTCAGCCGTCGCTTCTACTGCTGCCATTGCTGTTGGCGGTGATGATGTCAATTCGTTGTTTGTGGTGCCAGGTTTGTTTATGAGATCTTTAGCGTCTGTATCCAGATCGAATGCTATCGACGAATGTGTCGAATGAAGGGAGACACGATCAATTTGATCAAGGTCATTTAAATCGGACATGCTGCTGGAGGCTGAGTTAATGAAGACCATTTCGGCCAACTCAGATTGGGGCGATAGGAAACTTCTTAAAGTTGTACAGCTCTCGTCGGCGTCGGGGGCCTCCTGAATGCGAGCTTCCACGGCAACGGCTGCGGGTTCCTCGCGTATCGCACTGCGATTCGATGGGGTGTTAAGTGTTAGTGTGGGTTTGTGGGGTTTACTGAAGTCCAGGGAACTTTTGGGGAATTTGGCATTGAGCTTTTGTGATTTATGTGTGTCATTTGTATTGCTGACTGCACTTTCGGCGGATGCCGACCTAGACAGGGGATTATCGCCACACTCACTTAGATCGCTGTTCTCTTCGGAAATGCTGTCGAGAAATCGTGGGCTGAGCATTTGGGGCAAGAAGTGACTTTCTAATGCCAGGCGTTTTTGTTTACGTTTCTCGCGTTGTGAGGCTGGGGTTGCTTTGGCGGCCACTGCTTCTAAGTCTGACAATGAATCGCCATCATCACATTCCGCGGCAGAGTCTACTTCACTGACAACCGGAGATCGGAGTTCCTCTAGATCGGTTAGGGATTCATCGCCCACTTCTTCTATGTGTACCGGAGATAGGGCGGCCAAACTAGTCCGTTTTTCATTGTCGTTGTCACTGTCTTCCAAATGGATTTTGTGCACAATCACCTTTACTTGGTGCTTTGTCACTTCATTCGGTTCCCCTTTACTTTCACTGTTTGTTTCAATGGCACTCTCAGCAGCGGGGTTTTTGTCACCTTGTTTACTTTCACTTTTTAATGCCACCACTGTTTTGTCATCGCCATTCACATCTTCGCAAATAACGCGATGAACGATAACCTTGGCCTGCTGTCGGGGCGTGACTGGTGGTGTCGACGGGTTCTGTGTATGCGTATCCCGAGTCCGATCCTCCTGATTTTTAATAGGCTTTGACTTTTCTTTACCCATATTCCGATCACTTTTACTTTTACATTGCGGCGATGGGCTTTGGTTGCACGTTGTCTTTGCCGGTTCGAGTGGAACTGTGTCACATGCAATGACGCTGTGTTCTTCAGTAGTTGAAAGGCGGTCGGCAGACACTTCGTCAGAGATGTCGGTCTCTTTGGGATTGTCGCCAGTTTTGTGGACAATCCTAAGGGGTACACTTGTCTGCGGTAGTGATGAATCAGCTACGGGCGAAATGCGGGCAGGGGTGACGTCGTTGTGGCCGGCAATGTTGGTGCCAGATGATGCTTCCGAGTGTTGATCTCCTTGTAGTTGCAGTTGTTGTTGCGGCTGCTGCTGTTGTCTGTTTCGATTCTTATTTTTATTTTTATTACGATTGCGATTCTTCTGGCGATAGTTTGGCATCCTTCTTTTTCACGACTCTTTCTTCACTTCGCCCCAAATGCTTCTCGATTCGTTTACCTCAATGACGTTCCGTCCACTCTCTGCAATGGATTGAAGACGCAGTGAAGGCATATAGGTGTCGGAGCGGGTGGCTGTACTGTTGTTCGTGCGTGGAATTTATTTGTCGATTGGCTCTGGTTGCATAAGTACGTCCGGCGTCCACAAGTGTTTTCTTGGGAGGGAAATTATTAAGTAAAACACAAAAAAGGATGACACTTTCAGATGATTAGCTGGGTCGATGGTGGCGCTCCGTTGACCGCAATGAATGTGGGCTGTCGTGTATGTTCAATAAGGAAACCGAATATTTGCTCAGTTGTCAACAAACTCGGTATGTGGGTGCGTTTGTTTCGTGTTTCCTCTTTATGATAGGGAAGTGCGCTGCGTTATTGCCGTATCGTTCGTCTCATTCGACTTTGATCAACTGAAATGGCGCTCACTTGCGCCGTGATCATCAAACTCAGTCCCAGACCGCGTCCGACCGGCGAAAGATATATATTCGCTTCTTTGGCGATTTTGTTTTGTTTTTTTTTTACAATGAACGTGTTGTTGTTTCTGTTCGATATATGTCTGTAAGAAGAAGACGCGCGCGACCACAATTGTGACACGATTTTTTAAGAATGAACACACTCACATGTACCCCTACAGATTAATACATATAAGAGTACATATACATACATACATAAACAACTAACAGTTTTCTCTGGGAAATGAGAAAATCGCCGAACAGTATTTCAACACACGAACCATTTCATAATTGCGTATTTTGGATTTTCCCTAATGACCCACAACAACAACAAAAACATATACAAAGCAGAGAACCAACAATAGGAAAAGACAAAACAAAAGCCAACCACTGCTCCACTCAGTTGGCATTTGCCAGTTTTTCCATTCCTGTGATGTGCCATTATATGGTGACTGACGTTATAGAAGTGTGTGTGTGTGTGTGAGCCGTCATTAAGTAACGGCAAATTGATCTAAATAGGCCATAATTTGGAAATGTCACATATTCTGTAGATATCCAGAAGCGAGTTGGCCGTGTATGTGTCGCGTATGGGAAAAAAACTTAGGATGGCGTGGATCTGCCTGTGCGAACAAAGTGGTTGACATCGTTCCAATAATCCCCTTTATCGTATGTTCTACTGAAATATGGCCTGGCATCTGCACTGACCTGTATGTATGCTCGAGGAAATCAGAACAACATCAATAGAATTATGGGAGAACCGTGCCATTATTAAATGTTTGATTATAGCAGGCAAATTTGAACACAGCTGAAGGCAAAGTTCGAAAAATTGTATGGTTGTCAATATTGAAACCGTTTTGGAAACTTTTCAAAATATTTGCATTTGAAAGATTATTTACGTGGACGTTGTTGCATTTTAGTGCACACTAGTTAAGGCGTATCGTTCGGTGTTGCCCTCAGCCCATAGCAGCAACGTACACCTAAAATAATCTACTAATTTTACAAGCTTAGTAACTTTTTACTCGAAACCCGTTCCTGAACCCACAAAACTGGTAAAAAATTGAACCAAGAGAACAAAAAACAAAATGGCGTTCTCTTTGTAAACTTTTTACTCGAAAAATTTGTCCGAGTAAAAATAGTTAACAGGAATGCCAAGTTCTGATTGGCTGTATGTGGATTTTGAAATGTTGCCATCTAATTTTGGCATATTTACCAGATTTGCGTTCCCGAACTTTACAAATTATTTTGTACTCTGAGAGCGATTTTGAAATGTTTCCCTTTAACTAGCTTTACTATTAAAAAAGTACTGGAACAGACCAGTCATTGCTAATATAGCGTATTTAATCGCGTTGACGACTTAAATTGGGAACTCAAATTTCAAATTGGAAAAACTGCGCAAAAGACCGACGCACCTGGAAATCTTTTTTAAGCTCGGCTTATGGAACGAAAGTTCTGTCACAAGCCAGCTATGTAAGTAAGTCTCACGCAGACATATGTTTCAGCTTTCAAAATTTAAATGTTAATACCTTCCTTTAACCCTTTACGGCCCAATGCTGCCCACAGGCAACAAAATGCTTACATTTAATACGCGGCAAGTAAATATTCAAAATTTTGGACAAGTAATACGCTTTTCAATACATGAGTGCAAAAATATATACAGTACCAAATGGTGTGTACAGTCCAAAATATTTAAATCGATTCGTATTGGAAAAGTACGAATTGGACCGTGTAAGCTTTTGTTGAGTCTTGTAAAAAAGAACCTAAAGAACAATTAAAAGAGCTTTTTTCATCGATATTGCATGTACTTTTGAAGATATTGGACTTTTATTTTTCGGAAAGAAGGTACTGTATCTCACAAATGCAAGGATGTAGCGACGTCAAATTTTGCTCATATTCCATTTAGGATAGTTACATTAAAACTGTGCACAAAAAATAGTTCTATTGACAGGGGTAAAAATTAAGGCCACAAAGGGTTAAAATTTACACACATCATTTGTTCAGTGGCAAAACTTGCAAAATTATTTATATTTATTAATATTTTTAAGTTCCCTACCTCTAATACTCATAAATCTATATTGTAGCACCCACATTTACATCTTCATGACAATTTGCAGTCTTAGAAAATATATTTTGTTCAATTTATTGAAAATATGCCAATCGACATACATAACATTTTATGGAATTTATTTTTTATTTTATTTGAAATTGATCAAGGTATATTAGTAAGGTAACCGTATCAGGGCAGCTGATGGTAAGATTATATGTCAAATAAATATTTGTTATTTGAATTTGCCGTAGGTAGATACATAACATAAATTAAATTTTAGAAAGAAATAATACGATAAAAAATTGTTTGAAATATGTATATATTTTAAAATAGTTATATAAGAATGAGAATGTGTATTCGTTGCATAAAGAAAGATGTTATGGGCAAAGTCAAGTTTTTATTGGTTCTCTGAACTCAATTTGGTCGCTGAACAAAATTTCGTCTCAATCGGACAAACATAGGGACTTAAGTAAAACATTGATATAATCAGACGAAACAACATATGGTAGCTATATTTAAATCTGAAGCTATATTCACCAATTTCAGCAGGGCGCGTCCTTGGGTCAAATAGAAGAGATGTACCAAATTTCATCAAATTCTGATCACAAATGTAGCCTGTACTTTTTTACAATAACATACGTACATATCTTAAAAGGTACTATAGGTACATCTCAAAATAAGGTAAATGGACTTGTTTTATGCTTAATTTTATTCAAGGATATTCCTTTACAAACAGTAATTGGAATATATAGCCACATGGTCTTCCCAGTTGCATATGCGTAGATGCTTTTTAATAAGAAATGATAGATGTCAATTGGTAGGAAAAGTCCTGTATAATTTCACACTTAGAGATGTCGAAACCCTCTTAAGAAATGTCTAATGATTGTCGACAGTTGGCTGTCACGCGTTTTGTTGTATTCTCCGCAAAAAAGACGTTTTTTCTTTGGGGATGAAATGGACCAAATACTTAATTTTTGTCCGTTTTTCTAGTCGCTCCAGAAGCCGCAATTATGGCCCAAACATCACGATTTTTTACAAGGAGAAGGGGATCGGGCCAAAGAAAAAGCATGCCTGTTTTGATAAACATCGAACGAGCTAGTCGAAATTTATTATGGGCTGTTAGTCTTCACTTGCTGTCAACATTTTGAATCGCGAAATACCAACCAGAACAGGATAAAAACTCAAAATATATTTCGAAAAACGTAATTATAGTAATGTGAACATATATTTTGGTTCGAATAAAAATACATATGTTTTTTGTATTAACGACAATCTAACATTTCATTTTTGACATTGTTTAGTTGTTTTTTTAACATAATAGTACGTTTACATTGCACTGGGTTTCGTTAACCCCGTGTTTTTCAATTGTCAATTCCATTACGTATATACCAAATAAATCCTCATAAAGTAGGTTAACCCGTTAAAAAGCATATTTTTCAGGTCACCTTGAATAACTCAACAATAACAATAGATGCGGCCCGTTTCCGAGATCTCACCATGTGCAAATAATTATAACTTATTGCTGAGTGCAAGGGAGGCCGATTAAAGAGCATTTGTCTGTCTACCGCCCCTGTTAATGATCCATTGCACTAATCGAGGGTAATTGATGTAATTGATAATTCGACTGATTAGTTGAATGGAGTTTTAGAAACAATCAACTTGTTCTGTAACATGGGTTAGTATTACGCGTTGCTCTCTACTTATTACTCACTGGCCGTTGCTCACTATGTACATAATGTTTCACTGGCGGATTATTGGCTGAACCACTACGTCTCATATAAGGAACGAAGAGCACGCGAATAGCATGTCAATTCCCGAGTTAAATACAACCGAGCATGGCAAAAGGCAACGTTGCGGAAGTAGTGTATTTTCAGCTCGACGATCGCGTCTGTACTAGAAGGGCTTTCAATTGTTTTATTTTGTTCGGTGTTCCGTTTATTGTGCTTTGCAAAGCCCAAATGAACATCAAGCCCCATAGACATTCACACTGTGGGTACTGTGCATACAGAATCTAAATGAGCACACACACACGCTCTTGTTTCGTCAGCACCGCAAAACACGCTGTATATAAATCAGATAGGCGACAGGCAACCATCGATGTACACAAACACATGTGTGCTGCAATCAACTCGAGGGTCTTACGTCATCCAGACATTGCAGATTTCACTTTCCTTCATCTTAGAGTTGCCATTCTTGTGGGAGACCCTATACACTATTGTGCAAATGTGTGAAAAAGCACACTCGGACTCGAATTTGAGTGACAAATCTCGAAATTTGTTCATTACCAGTTTATTTTTATAACCAAGCAACATCACACCGATTATACAGATTAATTAACAGGCCCATGCATATTTATGTTTATAATAGTTTCTCCTAGAGATTGTCAGATCAAAAAGGATTAAGTGGAAATAAACATTTTTCGTCTTGATGTGGACTATCTGCGAAAAGTGCATT